AAGAATCTTTGGATAGAAGAAAAGTATCAGACTCTGACAGCCATCTCTAAGGAGCTTCCCCAGAGTAATGCAACGTGCCTAATACCAGCCTTTCAGAATCTGGATAGTGTAGTTAAATCTTATCCTTTAAACATTTTGATTCCTATTATTTTGAATGAAACAGACTTGAAGTCACAAAATTTCTCTGGCAGTTCACTGGACTGGAATAGGTTGCCTTTGTCTACTGCCAGTCTTCTGCCAACTGTTCCCCAGTGGAATGCCAGTATATATGAATTGGTACAGATGGTCCAAAATGCCTCCAACCAGCCTGAATTGAGACTTTTCTCAAGAGTCTGTAAGAGCATTGGCAATCTGATGATCAGCAAATGGAACCTGACAGAAGTGGATTCCAGTGTGAAACTATTGGAAATACTGAAAAAAGCTCTCAATGTTGTTGACATTGGATTAGCTCCCAGAAAAGCAAAAGCACATCAGTTCCTTCATAACTCTAGCTTGGGAATGAAACCCGCAGATTTGGAAGGTATATTTAGTTTGTTAAAACACTTCCTCAACTCAACTTCTGCCACAAAGAACAAGCCTGACTTGGAGAGGATGTTTAAAAGATTTGCCCCATCAAATGAGATCCCCGCTGAAAGACTTTTCTATACTAATCCCTATTCAGAGGAAACGCAATGTTTTTTAAACTTAACTAGAGTAATTTGGTATAAACTCATAAATAAAGAGCTTTTATCCCTCCAAAAACTCCTTGCTACCATGGCAAAGGTGAACATAACTCAGCATTACCTATTGATCTCTTCCCTGCCTAAACTAATGCAGTATATCCAAAATTCCACTGATGGAGCTCAGTGGAATGAGCTCAACAGTTACTGGCACATTGCTGAAATACTGCGGTCCATGAAATGGAGCAGCACCGATGTGATTGCCTACAAGTCACTTTTAGATGCATTGCAAAAAGATTTACATACAGTGAAAAATGGCTCAGGTCTCCATTTTAGTAACGAATTGGAGCAGTTGATAAAACTTGCATCCCAAGAGTATGGTGGAGAAGATGCCAGAGAAGCGAATGTCTCAAAATATTTGCAAGCAGTACAAAGGAGTATATTCATTATAAATGACTTGCAACAAAAGTTTAATATCAGTGAATTGGAAACTATTGATCGATGGATGAATTTTGACAATAACTCCACCCAGAGATTGCTTGAAATATTGAGGGTGGGAATGAAAATCCTTTCTGACACCAGATTGGGTGAAGCATCCAATAAAGAAAAAATTGATGCTGTCTATAATTTCTCACACTTGCTATTTCAAAAGGAATTTAACAAGACTTCCTTACAGCACAATACTTCATTAGAAGCAAAAGTGTTGGATCTCTTGCATTTAGCTTTGAGTCCCTTCCTGGAGGAAGGTAACAATGACAACAAAAAGCCACAGAACTGCTCTGTCCATGACATTTTTTACATAACACTTCAGATGCTGTTTAAAAATGCCACACTACCCGAGTTCTTACCAGGAAGCCATTGCAAATTCCTGTTTACTTCCATGGACATTCAGACCAGAACAATGGAAAATAAATCATTTACTGAATTGTTTCAGCTTGCAGTAAGAAATCTAGAGCAGACTCCAGAATTTGCTAGCATCTTCAAAAACAATAGTGAATATTTTTCAAGGGAGCTGTCTTGTATTATCCAGTCGTTACAGTTTTCTTCTAGTTTTCTTTCAAACTTAAATACTGTCTCTCAGTTTGAGAATCCTTGGATAGAAGGAAAGTATCAAACCCTGACAGCCATCTCTAAGGAGCTGCCCCAGAGTAATACAACGTGCCTACCACCAGCTTTTCAGAGTATGGATAGAGTATTTAATTCTCATCCTTTAAGCAGTTTGATTGCTTTTATTTTGAATGAGACGGACATGAATTCACAAAATTTCTTGAGCAGCTCAGTGGCTTGGAAGAACTTGTTCATTCTCTTCAGTGATGTCCAGGCTGATGTCCAGCGGAACTCCAGCGTGTATGAAGTGCTACAGATGGTCCAAAGTGCTGCCAGCCTCTCTGAATGGAATAATTTCTCCAGAGTCTGGGAAGCAGTTGACAACTTGCTAAGCACCAAATGGAACCTGACCAAAGCGGCGGGGTATGTGAAGCTGCTGGAAGTGATGAAGAGGGATCTGGCTGACAGCGAATTATCTCCAGGAATAATAGAAGCTGCTCATTATGTTCTTAAGAAACTGAACTCTTCTGATCTGCCAATCTTATTGAAAACGGACCTCAACCCAGAGTCTGCCCCTAACAGAGCTGATTTCAATACTGTATTGGACAGTGTTGCTCATCCTTTCAGTGTTATGGCAAAAACCCTTTTCAATAAGAGCCTGACTTGGAATGAAGGAGAACAAACCCTGTCTCCTAACAATTTGGTCGCACAGTAAGTTAATTTATTTCCAATTTCATAACTGTCACAATTTCTTGTAGAATCTACAATGACCTCTGGCTTATTTATTTATCTGGTTTATTTTATTTGGCTATTAAAGGAGCAACATTACACTGAAGTTACATGAGCTACACCTAGCTAGGGACATAAAATACAATAAGAAAAGGTTCTATAAATACATTAGGAGCAAGAGACATATGAAGAAAAATGTAGGTCTCCTACTTAGTAGGGAAGGATCGCTAATAATGAATGACATCAAGAAGGCTATAATGTTTAATATGCCTGTTTTGCTTCAGTCTTCACTAAAAAGGTAAATTGTGACCAGATACTCAACACAATTAATATTAACAAGGGGGAAGAGCCGCAAGACAAAATAGGGGAAGAATAGGTTAAATAATATTTAGATAAGTTAGGTGTATTCAAGTTGGCTACAACTGATGAAGTTACCCAAGGGTACTTAAGATACTGGCTGAAGCAATCTCAGAATGATTAATAATGATCTTTGAGAACTCCTGGAGGACAGGTGAGGTCCCAGAGGACTGGAGAAGGATAAACGTAGTGCCTATCTTTAAAAACGGGACCAAAGAGGACCTGGGGAATTATAAACCACTCAGCCAAAGTTTGATACCTGGAAAGATACTGGAACAAATTGTATTAAACTGTCTGTAAGCCCAAAGAGGATAATAGGGTTATAAATAATAGCCTACAGAGATTTGTAAGAACAGATTATGCCCAACCAACCTAATTTGCTTCTTTGTCCCTAGTGGATAGTAAACACAATATATCTTGATTTTAGTAAGGCTTTTGTCACCTTTTCACATGACATTCTCATAAGAAAAACTAGGAAAGCATAGTCTAGATTAAATTGTTACAAGGTGGGTGCAAAATTATCAGAAAGACTGGACACAAAGAGAAGTTATCAATGGTTCGCTATCAAACTTGGGGAATGTGTCCAATGGAGTCCCTCAGGGGGCTGTTCTGGGTTCAGTACTATTTAATATTCTCATTCATGACTTGGATAATGGAGTGGAAAGTATGCTTGTAAAATTTGTGGATGCCCACAGGTTTGGAAGGATTGCTAGTGCTTTGGAGGAGAGGATTAGAATTCAAAACAACCTTGACAAATTGTTGAATTTGTATGAAATCAACAAGATGAAATTCAATAAAAACAGGTGCAAAGTACTGCAGTTAGGAAGGAAAAAATCAAATGCATAACTACAAAATGGGGAATAACTGGCTAGGTAGTAGTGCAGCTGAAAAGGATGTGGGGGTTACAGTAGGTAAATAATTGAATATGAGCCAGCAATGTGATACAGTTGCAAAAAAGGCTAACCTCATTCTGGGTGTATTAACAGGAGTGTCGTACGTAAGAAATGTGAGGTAACTGTCCTGCTCTGCTAGGCACTGGTGAGGTCTCAGCTGCAGCATGGCGTCCATTTCAGGGTGGCACACTTTAGGGAAGCTATGGAGAAATTGGAGAGAATCCAGTGGAAATCTACAAAAATGATAAAAGGCTTAGAAACCCTGACCTATAAGGAAAGGTTTAAAAAATTGGGCAAGTTTAGCGTTGAAAAAGAAGACCAAGGGGCGGACCTGGTAACAGTCTTCACGTATGTTAAGGGCAGTTATAAAGAGGATGGGGATCTATTTTTCTTCAAGTCCACTGAAGATATAACAAGAAATAATCAGCTAAATCTGCAGCAAGGGAGATTTAATTCCAATATTAAGAAAAAGTTCCAGTTATAAGGGTAGTTAAGCTCTGGAATAGGGAGCTTGTGGAATCTTTGTCATTGGTGGTTTTTAAGAACAGGTTGGACAAACACCTATCAGGTTGCTCAAGGGTTATTTGACCCTTCCTCTGTGCAGGGGGCTGGACTAGATGGCCTCTTGAGGTCCCTTCCAACCCTCCATTTCTCTGATTCTGTGTCTGAGACCTACCACCCTTATTTATGGTTCCAATCCACACAGACATTGAGAACATGGGGGTGAGGAAGATTTCATAGTCACTAAACCACACGAACACTGGGAGATTTTCAAAAGTGCTCAGTGTTGGCCTATCTCTGTTCCCATTGAAGTCAATGGGAGTTTTAACCATTGGCTATAGAGAGAGAACAACCAAATGCTAAATGCTTTTGAAAAATCTCACCCTAGGGAAACTAAACTCCTTTGCCTCTTCCCCCTCGTTAAATGACTGCCACCTGCTTCTTAGTTTTCCCTACTGTGCCTTTAAAATCAGTCACTTTCATTCAAATGAGTGACCATTTAACATACATTTCCTTTTGCTCATTGTCTCAGAGTGAATTTCCGCAGAGGACTTCTCCTGTTGTTGGTGAGATAATGGCAAAAGAGATCAATGCAGTAAAAAGCAGGAGCATCTTCAGTGATTAAATATCACAGACTAGATCTTCAGCTGATGTAAATTAATTGACTTCACTGAAGTGATGCTGATTTACACCATCTGAAGATCTAGCCCTAGTGCTGCTGACAGGTTACTCAGTAATGCCCCTTGTTTCTTTTAAGCCGAAAAGGACTTATTCCAGTCTTATTTTTCAGGTTTCTGGTTTTAGAATTGGAAAACGCCATCTTACAGGTATCAGCCGATAACATTTACAAGCCATACTTGATCTGTTTAATGAATGTGAGTGGAAGGCAAGACAATGAGTTGACAGGTAATAATTATTTCATTAACTCTGTGGGAGTTATCTGGTAATGTCTTAAGCCTATCTTTTTAAAATGCTGCGTGTAATGACATGAAGAAATGGTGCTGCGTGTTATCAGTGTGCTTGAAAGTCCATTGGAGCCGTGAGAGCTCAGCACCTCTGAAAATGAGGTCCCTTTTGATTCGTCTCATGGATTTTTATTTTTTTGGTCCTTAGATGTGTCACGGTATCAGTGTAATTTGTCCACTCCAGTAATCATAAAAACATGGAACACTCTTCCCTTTGTGGTTGCATGGCTAGTAAAATGTATGCTGCTGACTCCTAAATAGTGAGTCCTTAGTAAAATCAATCTGGTATTTCCTCCTCTGCTGTGTACTGCTGCAGCTTCTACAATCCTTTAAAGTGGCAGCCATTATCCTGAGAGCTAAGCTTCCATTGGTATAATGGTGTTTCATATGGACACGCTTGGTACATACTTACAGCAGCACCGGAGTTGCTTGTTTGCCTCACATACGAGGTGTTACCGACTCACTAGGTCTCGTATGCTTTCATGAGTGTTGTTTCCATTATGGGATGTGTTTCTGGATTGGGGGGGGCGTTATCTTGAAGGTGATCTCTGAAAAATCTTGGCAGACTCATTAAGGGTTTTAGTAAAAGGGCTGATGCAGATTACTTCCCCCAGAGCAAGAAGGAAGCAAGGACCAGCCTGTGACTCTCGGTTCCTACCCTGCTCCTGGGCAATGCTGCTATGTGAGGGCTTCTCGGGATGTCGTTTTATGGCTGTCTCCTGCCATGCCTGTCCTGGGGGAACTCTCTGGCTGCAACAGGGGCTCTTAGAGCCCCTTTATATCACTCGGTCCCTTTAATGCCATGTCGTAAAAGGGTCCAAGTGGGGGTGAGGCTCTCACAAGCTGGACCATAGGGGTACAATCCAGGCCTGAGAGCATGACTGCAGAGGTGCTAAGCACCATTTGAACTCAATGGGAACTGCGTGCACTCAGCACCTGCGGAAAGCAGGCCCCTGAAGAGGAAGTTCAGTTTTCCATTGTGCAGGGTTTCTGTAAGATCTTGTGTGTCATCTAAAGTAACTTATTTTCCCTTGCAGAAAACATAACACGTCTTCTGAACCACGCTCAGCTAGAAGAAGCTCCTTTCACTCAAAATGGCATCTATGAGAAACATGCATCTATTCCAGAGATCCTACAGTCAAAGGTAAGTCTGCTTAAAATGCTGACTCAGAGGAACCCCGCACTGATACTACATCAGTGTGCAATGAAGCGTTCAGGAAACCAGCATATAGAAAACAGTTTTTAAAACACCTGACGTGAGCTAGAAATGCAGCTTGATCTTACTGCAGCTGCCTGTGCTTTGGGGTTACCATTACCCAGGCCAGAGAACGCTCTTTCCCACATGGTCAGTGCAAATGCCCCATACATGTTTGGGAGCAAAGGGAGGTGCTCAGAGTCTGCCCGGACTGACTCCGAACTACAGTGGTTTTCATCACCCCTCTGGAAGAGGCAATCAGTGCTGTGTGGCTTGTGACTGGCAGTTCATTTCCTTGTTGGATGGATGGAAGGTTTATCCGTATTTTTAAGGCTCAAGCCACTCGTGAGACTTTCATAAGTGCTTAGTGAAGTTAGGGGCACCATTCCCATGAGACTTGTGGCCCTAACTCCCACAGGTGCATTTGAAAAATCATGCATGGGGAGATTTTTCAAAGGCACAAATGACAATTCAGCACTTAAGTCCCACTGAAAGTCGATGGGAGTTAGGCATCTCTAACTGCCACTGGAAAATCTTCCCTGTAACTAACAAGACATGCACCTTTGGCGTTCTGCTGGCATATTCCTGTCTATGATTGCTTGTCTCATTAGATTGTAAGCTCTTCCGGGTAGGGACTCTCTCTAAATATGTTTACACTGTACCTAGCAAGGCAAGTCTTTATGCTGATTGGGGTCCCTCAGCACAACTGGAACAATAATATAATAATAATTAATAATAAATAATTAACAAATAAGAGTTTTCATTGCTGGAGATCCTGTCCCAGGAATTAGTTAGTGCCAGGGTTGGCATTGTAATGCCAGTGTATCATCTTTTCTTGTGCTGATATGTCTTTCTTGAAAATAAAAATAGCCAGTTTTTCCCCAGACCACTCTGGAAGGGCACAGCAGAAACACGGGTTTCAGAGCCTGAGCTCCAGCCTGAGTGGTAATGTCTATGCTGCTATTTTGAGCCTTGTGCTGCTAGCCACACAAGCCCTAGTAAGTTGACCCAGGCTCTGAAACCTGCTGCCACAGGATTGTGGGTTTTTTTTTTCAAAGTAGATTGACCCAAACTTGCAGACCAAGAGGAGAGTGGGCTAGAGTAGCTGTCTACCACATGCCTACAATAGGGGACTCCTCTGTGGCTGCAACCAGGGTTTCTTTATGCCACTCTAGCTCTTTAAAACAGTATCAAGGAACCAGAGCAGGTGTGGGGCTTTCACCACAGGTACCTGAAGTTAGTGTCCTATATTTAAGTTTAAACACCTAAATATTATTGAAGGGGTCACAGAGCGCACACTCGGAATTGTTTACAATGCTTAACTTTTATTGAAAATATATGAGAGAAGTCAAATACACTGTGCAAAATCACAAAAGTGGTGTAATGGACATCAGGATGTAACACTGTTGTTAATTGTTTCTCTTACAACAGCACCTATAAGCCCCAGTGAGCTAGGCACTGTACAAACACATAGTAAAAGATAATCCCTCCCCTAAGGACTTTACAATCAAAATAGACAAGGCAGATAAAGGGTGGGAGGGGAAGCCAGAGTCAGGAAGAGACGTGACTTGCTCAAGGTCACATAAGACAGCAGCAGAATTAGGAGCTGAGAATTCCAGGTCAGGTCCCTGGACCTTTCTGCCTCTCCAGGGCTGGGAACAGTCACTGTGAATTTCAGTTCATTTTAAGACCTTTTGAACTAAAGGGCTCGAAAGCTGAATCCTGAATAAAATCAAAGCAATGTCTATATCCTTTAGCCTAAAGACCACTTCTGATCATCCTTTTCTGTAACTTGCGTCTGTCTCTCTTTTTTTAATTTAAAGACATCTCGCCTCCGAAGCATGATAAAACTTCTTTGTGACTACAAGAGCTTTAAATCACTGCAGCGTATCTGTCAGCTCCCTACTGTTAGCTTTGAAGCACTGTGTGAACAAAGTCAATTTCATGAGAAGCTCCTTCACAGCTTTGAGTTAAGCAATCACCTTATGACAGATGTAGTTCATCACAACAGGGTTTTTCGAGAACTTGGAGATATACTGATTGGGGATCCCACCAAAATCCAGTCACAAATGAATTGGTAAGGACTTCTCTAAGCTCTTCTACACCAGTGTTTCTTCCTGAAATTATTAATGTGGACCCTTTATTTTCTTTTAATGTTCCCATTTTTTAAAATTTAAGGATTCAAGAAAATGTACCGCAAATTGATTATTTTCAAGATATCCCGCGGTATATGGCTATAATGAGTTCCATGATGAATACCACTGAGAATGCAACAGCTTCTCAAAAGCAAGGTAGTTTTACCTGTTTACTTTAAAACCTTGGTTTATAAGAATGGTCGCTAATTTACTTGTTGCTGTTGGCCTTTCTGAGGCAAATTTCACAGATTGTCTTATGAAAGCTATATGGTGACGGAAGTAAGCATGTGCTATGTCCATTGGCTTCTTTTCTAGGACAGGCTGTAGGCCTACGGAAGTCAGTTACAAAACTCCTATTGAGTCAAAGTTGCTGGTTCAAGCCGTCAGAGGTCCTAAACGTATGTACAGGCAAACTGTGCTCGGTGCAGGCCCCAAAAATCCCTAGGTCTGCCAGAGGCTTACAGATTGACAAATGGTCCATCCAAATTCAGACATGTTTGACCGGTAGTGCTCCTCTCAGCCAACATGCACAACATCTTCAGTCTGGGCAAAAATGTTTCTCTTCCGCTGTCTTAACATAGGTGCTCTGTGCATAGATATATAATAGTTCTGTAAGTATGGAGAAAACCATTATATCATTTTTTGGTTTTTTATTTTAAAGAAATGCTAATGGCTATGTTTAAAAATGTCGACCAGCTCAAAGAGGAGCTCAGAAATGAAGCAGGAATGTCCATAGCAAGTATCAAAGCCCTGATGGAAATGCCTCTCCCAGAAAACACAACTCAGGTAAGTTTATCCTAATTCTAGCTGAAGGTCCCTTTAAATTGGGCACTCAAATAATTAAATCCAGGGGCTATTAATGAAAGCAGCTCAGCAAATCTCTGCTCCTGTGGGAACGCAGAGGGAGATACATGATCTTTAAGGGACACAAACTCTATAGTGCTTTATAGATCAAAATAGACACCCTGAGTTGTAACTGAAAGAACTTTGTAAGCCAGAGCAGCCTCTGGAGACCAAGAGCAGTATGTTCTTTGACTGACACGAGTAGCCGGTGGGTAGTCACATAGTGGGTGATTGCTGAAATATTTAGCTAGTGCATTGTGCATTGCAGTAATCCAGTTCAGTGGTCACAAATGCGTGGATATTTTTGGTGAGGTCCACACTGCAGAGAAACAGTGGCAATGCAGATGGAAAAGGGCATTTCTGGCCACTGATGCCACCAATAATTATAAGAGCTACCCCTGGGATCCAAAATATCCTTGCAGACAATGAATCTCAGCTAAGGATGGACACGCTATCCTCAATGATTCGGCTCCAAAGACTTCTTCCCCTAGCCCTGCCTCAGAGCCTCACCATCATCTTGTCTCGTTTCAGTCTCAAACAGCTCACTTTTATCCAACCCCCAACTTTGTCAATCACTGGGAAAGTTAAACTGTCGGGTCATTTCAGCCTGTGCAAAATGTGTTAAAGCACTACCATTCTGCTTTGATTCTCCATGCAGGAATAATAGGGAGGAGAAGGTATGTTTCTTAGTCTACAGCATTGGAAGGTGATGTTGGGGAAGAGTTTAGAAGCAGTCGTTTAACCCATGCATGTTGGAGTAACCTAATAATGTACCAATCTCCTGCTTTTTGTGCAAATACAGCTCGTTTCTCGGATTCTCCAGCTGGAGTCGTGTGACGTCCATTCCATCGACCCAAAGCTAGACGCAGTAGTAAAGGAGTTCTGCAACCTGTCACTCCCAGAAAGGACCCGCCAGTCTTACATTCTGGGGGTCATATTCTTACGTCACTTAGACATTTACAATTTTCTGTACAAGGTTTGTGTTGGATTTTTAGAGCACTTTTCTGGCTTTTATTAGCTACTGTGGCTAAGATCCTCATCTGGTATACCTGTACTGGTATGGAGCTAGGCTGCTTCCCACCAGCTGAGGATCTGGCCTTGTGTATGAAATAACAAATAATGTTATATTGCATACCTATGCTGACATATACATTAAGACAACTGTCCATTATAGAGCCAGCTGGTGTAAATTGGCATGCCTCAGTTGTAACCATTGGGGCCACACTGATTTACAGCAACTTAGGACCTGGCTCTCAAGCTACTCTTGCCTGGTACACCATCCAACTGGCTCACAAGCTACTCTTGCCTGGTACACCATCCAACCATCCTAGCCTAGGTCAGGATGTGAACCCAGGTTCCAATGGATACAAGACACTGGGCTAAGGCTCACTGTACCAATTAGCTATCCCACTAAATCCAAAACTGTAAAAGGTTCTGTGATATTTATTTGCCCAATCCATAATAATGTTGCAATTGCTGTTATGGCCAATCAAATATTCAATATGTGTAACTACCGTTGGTGACAACCATATGCTAAAATAGGTATGATTCGTCAACAAGTATGTTTTCGATACACCTTTAACAATGCTGAAATAATTGTCCTTCTGAACAATGCAATCAAATGAGAATGACAGTGAACTTGGCTCTGTAGTGATTGACACAAGGACATAAGAACAGCCATACTGGGTCAGACCAATGGTCCATCTAGTCCAGTATCCTGTCTCCGATAGTGGCCAGTACCTGAGCTTCAGAAGGAGTGTACAGAACAGGGCAATTTTGGAGAGATCCCCCCCTTCTTCCCCTCCCAGCTTCTGGCAGTCAAGGTTGTCCTGAGTATGGGGTTGCATCGCTGTCCATCTTGGCTAATAGCCACAGGTGGATCTAAGCTCCATGAATGCATCTAGTTCCTTTTTGAACCTGTTATACTTTTGGCCATCACAACACCCCATGTCAGTGAGTTCTACAGGTTAATTGTGCACTGTATGAGAAATAACTTCCTCTTGTTTGAATTAAATCTGCTGCCTAGTCATTTCATTGGGTGGCCCATGGTTTTTGTGCTGAGGGTCTTCTACTGTATTCCAGCCATCCTCAAAACAAACCTTCCCACATTTTAACTGTTCAGAGCCAGGTTCTTTAGAGCGATACCTAAAGTTCCAGGGTGGAATTTTCAACAAGTGGATAAGTGACTTGGGAGTACAAGTTTCCCATTGGTTTCCTATGGGATTTGTGCTCCTAAGGCACTTAACCACTTCTGTAAATCCCACCTCTGACCCCAAAGAATTAGTGCTAGATAGGTGTGTATATGCTGACAGTTATTTTCTTCCTTCCTCTGTCTTCTAGATGTTTTTCCCCAAAGAACTGCAGAAATCAATGGACAAGATGTTAGGCCTCCTGAAAGAGATGGAACATTTCAGGAACCAGGTGGCATCTGGCATGCGTCCGCTGTTAGAAGCCATTAATTCATTCAAAAAGCTACGGCAGTCTAGAAATGTGCCCCTCTCCAAGGTGTGTATTAGCATGGGAATGGTCCTGAGCTAAAATGCCTTTGGAGTACTTACACAGTGTTGCCCGTAGAATCTCTAAGTACATCCAGGGAAGTAGCTAGAGGTCAGCAAGTCTCTGTCAGGGTACCTAGAATGTTCTTGTTTGGAATGACATAGGTAGCAGTCACATGGTCAATATGGGCAAGGGGAGGAATGAAAACACAAAAGACTTACAGCTATGTTGAAGTGGGGTAACTAAGAAGGAGATTAAAGGAGACCTGCAGCCACATTGAAAAGACCCAACAAGAGGATAGTAAACACAGCACGAGAGCAGGGGTGCTGGAACAATTCATATGGGGTGTGGGTGCTGAAACCAAACAGTGAACTCTCGATATGATAGAAACCACTTCAAGCCAGGGGGTGCGGCAGCACCCCTAGTTCCAGCACCTATGCTTGAGAGTGACACAGCAAGAGCCTGATCGGGCTGCTTCCCTGAGACCCCACTGCTTCCTCCATTCCACACCTCACCCCCAGGTCCCCGCTGCTCGCTGCATCCCTCCTCCTTGGGATGGGGGAGTGAGGAGGAGGGGACGTGGAGAGCCAGCGGCTAGTAGACTGAGGAGGCTCGGCCCGGCACTGGGGCTGGTCTGGCTCTTGGGGGGTTGGCGGCTTGGCTCAGCCGGGTGCTGGAGCCGGTAGCTCGGCGGGGTGGGGGTCCTTCAGGAGTGGGAGGAGCTAACGCTTGGGTGGCCGGCAGCTTGGCCCGGGCTGACTCTGGAGCGGGGGTGGAGGATGGCCCAGCGCTGGGGGAGGCCAGCGGCTAGGCCCGGCACTGGTGCCAGCCTGACTCTGGCGGAGGTGGGGGTCGGGGCAAGGGGGCCGGTGGCTCGGGTTGGCTCTGAGGCTGGGCTGGCACACAGGGAGGCTGGTGGCGCTGCCTAGTGCTCAGAGGGGGGGGAGTCAGGAGGGGCGGAGGCTCGGCCTGATGTGGCTGTGGTGGGCAGACAGGGGCTTCTTCTTTTATGGTGGAAGGGGGGGTTTGGGGCTCCAGCGTGTCTGCGGGGGGGGGCGGGCCTTGGGCAGAAGAGGCAGGGCTGGCGGGTTCCCCAAAACAGGGGTTCATCCGCTACCATGGGCCTGATCCAAAGCCAACAGAAGACAATAGAAAGTCTCCCATCAACTTCAGTGAGCTTTGGCTCAGGCTGTAATCACACTTATCATTGTGATTACACTTATCAGCCAACTGGCTGGTCATGGTACCTTACGCTATCCCTAGGGCTGGGTAACCATCCTTCCGCAGCTCATCTCTTGTCCTGTCATTATGCATCTTTTGCATTATGGGAGTAAATCTTGCTCTACATACTCCAGGGAATAAACCACCTTGAAATTAATGAGAGTTGAGGATGCTCTGCACTTTACAGGAGACCTCCAGCATGTCTCATGATTGGGTTCTCAACTCCTTTCTATAAATTTGCCAACCGCTAACACATATCAGCACAAAGTATCCTTTGATATTTATGCTTTTCATTCATATTTATGAATAAGCATGCAAAGTCTCAAGGTTTTCCAAGTAAAGTCCCTTGTTTTGTACACAGATAAACTCTCATCCAAAAGCCAGCATAAATGTGGTTTACTTCTCCCACTGAGATAAGATGCTTTAAACATGCAGGTGTGTCTTTTTGCTTTTGTTTTTTGTCCCGTAGGCATTGTTTAAAACAACCAACATAACAATAGCTCATGGATCATTTAAGTCCATTTCGAAAGCTCTCTGCAATGAGGAAATCACACCCTTGTTTTTTGAATCTTTGCTGCCTAATTTTGGAGATCCAAAAAGACCTAGTTCTTCTATCCAGGATGAAAATATACAGAAAATAATGCGGAAATATGGCATTCCCCCGGATCCCAGTGAGTTTGCGGCGAAAGACGCGCCACAAGAGAAAACACTGAAACTATTCGCTTTCTCAGAGAATGTAGTTAGACTTAAACAGAAGGTCAGCTTAAAAATGTGTGGGCTAGATTCTGTTCTCTTTTGCACTAATTGTAAACTGGCGTAACTCAGTTAACTTCAATGGAGCTTCCCTGATTCATCATGAGAATCACTCCCTTCCTCCCACCCCCCGAGCTGGTTGAAATTTTTCAGACAAAACTTTTCATTGAACAATTGCTTGCTTTTTTTTCATGAAAATTTTGTGAAAACCTGTGTTGACATCTTTAAAATTTTTCATTACTTTTTCCCTTGCATCTTTCTGATGCCACTAGCTAAATGGGGTGACAGTTTTTTGGTTATTGAAAACTCTGGGTTTTGGTAAAGTAAATGTTCTTTTCGTGGGTTCCTTTCTAACCTTGAGAAACAATTGGAAAAAAATCTTGAAATTTTTTGTAGTTTTTTAAAAAAAGGTTTTGAACAGCTCTAGCCCCTACAGGTTTAGCGGCACAGAAATGCTTCAGACCAAATCCTCAGCTGGGTTAAACTGGCAAAGCTGCATGGAAATCAATGGTGCTATGCCGACTTCCACCAGCTGGTTATTGTATCAATTCTTTGTGGAGCACTGATTGATTGATCATGGAACTGTAATGTTTCCTGATGTAGCAGTTTGTGTGGAATGTGATGTATTATTTTGTGCAAGATGCTGCATGATATGACAGCTTGGGTCGGGGTATCCCTGCCACTTCTGCAAGTGGAGACGCCTTGGAGCTGGCAGATCCCGGTGGAGAAGTGGGGAATGCAGCCTTCATGGCATTGTCCCTCTCTTCCCCCAAGCCTGCAGTAGCCCGTCTGTGGGAATCAGGCTCCAGAAGCCAGGTGGGAGTCGATGTGACTGGGGGACACAGCTGCTTTCCACAACTCTACGGGAACTCATGAAGTCCCTTTTCTCGACATAGGTCTTGCTCCTCTAGGCATCTGTCTCTTCCATTTTATGTAACGAAAAAGAGCTGCATGTTTGTTTGAACACTGGGACAGAAACATTTGGGAGCTGACCCAAGCATTTCTGATTAGATCCAGCGAGCAGCTGTTCTGGGCCAAACCCTCAACTGGTGCAAATCTGCATACTTCTGTTCAATGGAGCTGTGCTGATTTACACCCGCTGAGGATCTGGCTCACTATGCTTATGGGTGACTTATTTTCATAAAGTTTAAAAGGCTTCTGAGTGGAGTAGGGTGGCGGCTTAATGTTCCCTCATCTCCCAGTTCCTGTGGTGGGCTGGTTTTAGGACTTGACAGGTCAATGCTTTCATCCTAATGTGTCATTTTTCCAGCTGCACGAACATTATTAGCTCCTCCTCATTCACAAAAGTCATTTAACCTTAAAGCAAAAAAAGCTCTGCTAGAACAATGAGAATCTTGTTGTCTTGATTTCAGCAACAGGAGACCTTGGGGTGGATTAGCTCTGTCAAGAGGTATTACGTCAGTCAGTGCAGAGAGGGTTATGCAGACATTAATCGGACACAGCAACAAAAATACTCTTGGGGAGTTTCGTGCGTCTACTTTATTTGTGCTATTTGGTTTTTTTTTGCCTTGCAGCACCTTTCTGCTTATCGTTTTATCTGGATTTGGTTAGTACCTCTACTGGAGCTTTAATATGGTCTTTCCTCAAACCTATGCTGTTTGGGAAGATTCTGTATACACCAGACACCCCAGAAACTCGAGCGATCATGGAAAAGGTATGATGTTGTGAATAATGAGAGGGGCTCCAGTCAAGCAAATCCCAATGAGAGAGCTTCTTGTTGAGTCTCCAGCGCAGGCTGGCTTTTTGGAGAAGTAGCAGAATACTGTGCTGCAAGTATTAGACTTGGTTGATAACCCCCCCCCAGGAGAAAAATGAATCTTGACACATTACTGTAGAACATAGCTGATGTGGTCTCAAACTGGGGGTAATCTAAGGCTTCGAAGACTCTTTGAGACGAAAGAAGAATGTAGATCAGTCATCAGCAAAGAATTGTTTAATGCATTTAAATTCAAAATGGGAGTGAGGTACTGATCGTGGGGTGTTGGTTGGGACCAACTGAAATTACGGAAGCTGGATCACAATTTGGTGAGTATTCAGAGCTCGGGGTTTGCTTTGGACCCATCGCTGATTGGGTTATCCCTAAAAATAATGAGGTTAGATAAGCTTGCAAACCCTTCGGAACTTGTTTCCAGTGCGCCGTAGCTTTGTATTTCTGTTTGTGGGAAGGCACTGCAGAGAGAATCCTGATCTCCAAGAAACGAAAATACAAATGAAAGTGAAAGGCAGCAAATTTAAAACTGGGGAATGGGAAGCGTGATTTCACACAATGCACAGCCTCTGGGGCTCTTTGAGACCAGCTGTCATTGAGGCCAAGAGCTTAGCAAGATTACAAAAAGGACTGGACATTTAGACAGATACCAAGAATATCCAGAATTATAATAGAAAGAATGTAAAAACAAATTATGGTGAAACCCTGTGTCCATTGAAATCAATGACATCACTGACTTCCATGGGGCCAGGATTTAACCCCAAGAGTTTTGGAAGTGATGGAGACACTCACTCTTCAAGGCATAAACCAACCTCTAATGAATGGGGGTAGGAAAAATATTTCCCTGTGCTCAGATTATCCCATAACGATCTACTGCAGGGGTTTCTTGCCCCATAATCTGAAGCAGTTGATGCTGGCCACAGTCAGAGACAGAATGTGGGACTGAATGGACCCCAGGTCTGATACATTCTGGTGATTCCTATGGTCTACAGGTCAATTGAAACATAAAATTGTTAAAGAGACAGCGACGATTTGTAATCTACCCCTTTGTGACTGTGGTCAATAGTTTCCTTTGCATGAAAAATCCAAGCAGCACTAGAAATGTGAGGGGCATTATGGGGTTTGGAAGCATTTCTCTGCAAAAGGCCTTAGACCCAAATCAGTCCTGGCATAAGCAGCAATATCTTCCATTAATCATAGAATCATAGAATATCAGGGTTGGAAGGGACTTCAGGAGGTCATCTAGTCCAACCCCCTGCTCAAAGTAGGACCAATCCCCAACTAAATCATCCCAGCCAGGGCTTTGTCAAGCCTGATCTTAAAAACTTCTAAGGAAGGAGATTCCACCACCTCCCTAGGTAACGCATTCCAGTGCTTCACCACCCTCCTAGTGAAAAAGTTTTTCCTAATATCATTACTCCTCGTTCTGTCATCTGCTACCACTGAGAACAGTCTAGATACATCCTCTTTGGAACCCCCTTTCAGGTAGTTGAAAGCAGCTGTCAAATCCCCCCTCATTCTTCTCTTCCTCAGACTAAACAATCCCAGTTCCCTCAGCCTCTCCTCGTAAGTCATGTGTTCCAGTCCCCTAATCATTTTTCTTGCCCTCTGCTGGATGTTTTCCAATTTTTCCACATCCTTCTTGTAGTGTGGGGCCCAAAACTGGACACAGTACTCCAGATGAGGCCTCACCCATGTCGAATAGAGGGGAACGATCACGTCCCTCGATCTGCTGGCAGTGCCCCTACTTATACAGCCCAAAATGCCATTGGCCTTCTTGGCAACAACGGCACACTGTTGACTCATATCCAGCTTCTCGTCCACTGTAACCCCTAGGTCCTTTTCTGCAGAACTGCTGCCTAACCATTCCGTCCTAGTCTGTAGTGATGCATGGGATTCTTCCGTCCTAAGTGCCGGACTCTGCACTTGTCCTTGTTGAACCTCATCAGATTTCTTTTGGCCCAATCCTCTAACTTGTCTATGTCCCTCTGTATCCTATCCCTACCTTCCAGCGTATCTTCCTTTCCTCCCAGTTTAGTGACATCTGCAAACTTGCTGAGGGTGCAATCCCTGCCATCCTCCAGATCATTAATGAAGATATTGAACAAAACCTACCTGAGGACTGACCCTTGGGGCACTCCACTTGGTACCAGCTGCCAACTAGACATGGAGCCATTGATCACTACCCTTTGAGCCCGACAATCTAGCCAGCTTTCTATCCACCTTATAGCCTTAATGTCAGTGGCAGTTGCTCTCCCTTCATCAGGACTGACTTTGGTCCTTCATCACAGCGCGCTGTGTAACCCAACAGGAAAATATAGAGAGTTTTGTGACTGCACCAAATTACTGCTTTGTGCTAACTCGATAAGGAGCTGAGGTCAATAACCTTTAGTAGCTTCTGAAGGAGTTTTCGGGGAGGAAAATGGTTGATTCTTGATTAACAGAACTGGACTTTTATTCTTAGACATAGAGGAAGTCTACAGTTAAAACACTTTAAGCTTCTCCTGCCGACATAGCACTGTCTATGCAGGGGGTTAGGTTGCTATAAACTACGTCGCTCAGGAGTGTGGACTTTTCAAACCTCTGCATGACGTAGTTATAGTGATATAGGTCTGTAGTTTAGATGAGACCTTCGTCATAATACTTAAGGCCCCAATCCAGCAAAGCATATAAGCAGGTGCTGAAGTCCAGCTCTGTTCAGCAAAGCCCTGAAACGTAGGCTAAACGTTAAGCACCTACATGTGACTGAGGCATGTGTTGAAGTTAAAGACATGTTAAAGTTAAGCACATGCTTAAACATTCAGCAGAACAGGGATGGACTGCTGAATCGGGGCCTAAAGAAGGAAAAACTTGCTCAATGTCATGTGAAAGGACCATGGAAATATTAATTTAGCTTTTTGTAAACAGGTCAAATGGATTTATTGTATGTGTTTGTTTTGATTTGTTTTTTTAAGTCTAATGCAACCCTGAAGCAAATGGCTGATCTAATGCAAAAGTCCCAGGAATGGCTGGACAAGTCACCGTTGATCATGAATTCACTGACTACATTAAACGAAACAATTCCAGTTGTCAAGGTATTATTATCTCACAGCTAACAGGGTTCCTTTGTCGCTCAAGTTAACAGAAGGCTGGGGGCAGATCCTCTCTGATATAAATTGTCATAGCTCTATTGACATCCACCAACAATACAAACACCAAGAGATTCTAAAGGGGCACCTTTTCAGAGCTAAACCCTCCTTCTGAAATGCTTACAGTACTTCCTCTAAAACTTCCAACACACTGAGGACTGATGGTTGGCCATACAAAGGGGAGAATTCTCTTAGGTTTGTAAATGCAATTGCCTTCTGCTTGACGTAGCAATCAAAGCTGGGTGACTCATCACAGGGCTCACCCCAGCCTGAGATACCAAAGAAGTGGTTCTCCTCAGGAAGCAGAAAAGCTGGGATAATACCTATGTCTCCTCATTAGAAAAGTGCTGGAGAGCCTAGAGGATGAACGAATGCCATTCTGCCTTTGTAGCTCAATGAGGAAAAATATTTAAATATCAAGGTAAAACTTCAGACTCTCTCCACGAGGAACAAGTCACTGTTCAAACCTGGAAAACTGTAACGTGCCTCCTCTTTCTACTCACTCTCCGTGCTTAAGTTACTTTGAGGCACTTTGAGGTTACTTTGAGTTACTTAAGTTACCTTAGCAGCAGTGATTGGCTTCTTTTTGGTGAAGAAACAGAACACAGCCTGTTATAGAAAGGATATCTTGGGAACACAGAGTAAATATTAACTGGTCTCAGTGGGAGAAATTCACCACAGTGTATATAGCATAGCTGGACTCCTGGAAAATCCAGGACGGAGCATGTGAGAGTCAGCGATGAAACATTCTCCACTGAGCGGACTCCTTTGTGGAATGAGCTATTAGAGATTCAGCTAAGCTCAAACCTGAAGGCCTGAAGCTCATTTACACGCAGGCCACTCTGCACTGTGCTCTGACAGCGTACAGCGCCCTTACAGGGTCTGTCTACACAGCATTCTGGAGCCCGCGGGTTCGAGCCTCCCAGGAGGGTCGACAGACTCGGGCTAGCACGGCTCATGCTAGGGTTCTAAAAATAGCTGTATAGACGGGGCTGGACCTTGGGCTCTGAAGCCCAGGGAGAGGGGTGGGCTGAAGAGTCCAAACCACAGCGTCTAAGCACTGGCTGTATGTCTAGTTTCAGAGCGCTAGGGTAAACCACACCTGCTGACCTGGGCTGGGACGCTTGCTCCTGCGGGCTCCAAAACTGCAGATACACCAAAAGTTGGTAGAAATTACATTTGCACATACTTTAACGTCTCTGTGTCACTAAGCATCCAGGCCTAAGTGCTTTCCAGAACCAGTCCGATGCCCAGTGAAGTCAATGTGATCGTTTTCCGTTGGATCAGGCCCTTAGAGAGCTGTAAGACTCTGTCACTGGCTAAAGTTTTCTCTCCGTAACTGAAATCAAGTGAAGAGAGGAGGCTCAAGAAGGGCGTAAGTAACATGGAGGGGATCCAAACAGGATGAATGTCACTATCTCTCTCTCACTCTCATTTGATAGAATACCCTGCAGAATCCATTTGTGCAAGTTTTTATCAAACTCATGGTGAAGCTGGATGCTGTCAAACTGCTGAGCGAAATAAATGAACTGGGTAAGTTGCTATTCATACACCTCCTATTTATATAACAGTGCTCAGAACATCACAACTGCCTCACTGCCTTAGACCATTGGTGTAACGATTCCTGCTGGCCAGTAGCTGATGCATTAGTGCCAATCAAGCTCATCCATAGTGTATATTTGCCTGGAAAGATTCCTCCTTCACCTTCTTAAAATATCAGCATATGTCCTGAGCAATGTGGTTTGAGTGCCCACATTATGGATGGATAAGACAGATGGGGGGAGAAAGGGAGCATTATGAGCCTTGTTTTACAGATGGGAAACTGAGGCATAGAGGGATTAAGTGATTTAGCCAAGGGCACACAGGAATTCTGTGGCAGATTTTGCCTTGAAGTGCAGTCTCCTGAGTCCCAGTCTTGTACCTTAGCCCAATGCCACTCATCCTCTCCATAAATATGTCTTATGTGGCATCCAGTGTGTAACACAAAACACATTATCAGATGCATAAGCCAGTCTTTTAGCTGTGGGATCCCTGAAATGTAACCTGTTACTATGTTGTTGTTGTTTTTAAAGAAGCTAATGTCAAACCAATATTTTTAAAAAAGGTAAACAGGATGATGCAGCCTGATAGTGATCCCAGGAAAAATTTCAGGAAGGCTGATGTGGGATATCATCAGTAAAGAATTAAAGGACAGTAGCATAATTAATGCCAATCAACATGGTTTTATGAAAAATGAGCTTGTCAAACAAATGTATCTCATCATAAACTGATCACTAGTTTGGTCGAGAAAGGTAACTGTGCTGAGATAATAGATTTCTGTGAGTCATTTGACTTAGTCCTGCATGACATTCTCATAAAAAAAATTAACACTATACAAAATTCCTGTTTTCCATATTAAATGGATTAAAACCTAGTTAAATAATAGATGTCAAAATAATTGTAAATGAGGAATCACAGAACCCTAGAAGTATAAGACTGGAAGGGACCTTGAGAGGTCATCTAGTCCAGTCCCCTGCACTCAAGGCAGGACTATATAAAAACAAGACCATCCTTGGCATGTGTTTGTTAAAAACCTCCAATGATGGAGATTCCAGAACCTCCCTAGATAATTTATTCCAGGGCTTAACCACCCTGACAGTGAGGAAGTTTTTCCTAATATGCAACCTAAACCTCCCTTGCTGCAATTGAAGGCCATTGCTTGTCCTATCCTCAGAAGGTAACGAGAACAATTTTTCTCCCTCCTCCTTGTAACAACCTTTTATGTACTTGAAAACTATTATCATGTCCCCTCTGTCTTCTCTTCTCCAGACTAAATAAACCCAGTTTTTTCAATCTTCCTTCACAGGTCATGTTTTCTAGACCTTTAATAATTTTTTGTTGCTCTTCTCTGGACTTTCTCCAATTTGTTCACATCTTTCCTGAAATGTGGCACCCAGAACTGGACACAATACTCCAGCTGAGGCCTTATCAGCACGGAGTAGAGCAGAAGAATTACTTCTTGTGTTTTGCTTACAATACTCCTGCTGATACATCCCAGAATGGCATTCCCTTTTTTTGCAACAGTGTTACACTGTTGATTCATATTCAGCTTGTGATCCACTATAACCCACAGATCCCTATTCACAGTACTCCTTCCTAGGCAGTCATTTCCCATTTTGTATGTGTGCAACTGATTGTTCCTTCCTAAATGGAGTACTTTGCATTTGTCCTTATGAATTTCATCCTATTTACTTCAGACCATTTCTCCAGTTTGTCCAGATCATTTTGAATTTTAATTCTGTCCTCCAAAGCACTTGCAACCCCTCCCAGCTTGGTATCATCCACAAACTTTATAAGTGTCCTCTCTATGCTATTATCTAAATCATTGATGAAGATCTTGAACAGAACTGGACTCAGAACTGATCCCTGTGGGACCCCACTTGATATACCCTTCCAGATTGGCTGTGAACCACTGATTGATTACTCTCTGGGAGTGGTTTTTGAACCAGTTACACACCCACCTTATAGTAGCTCCATCTAGGCTGTATTTCCCTAGTTTGTTTATGAGAAGGTCATGCAGGTACCTACTTGGAGAATAGACTTCTGATACCAGACGACTCTTTAATTGATCAGAAAAAGGCTTTAAAAGCTCCAATGGTTGGAAGCTGAAGCTAGAAAAATTCAGACAAGAAATAGGGTGCAAATTTTTAACAGTGAGGGTAATTAACCATTGGAATGACGTGCCTAGGGACATGATGGATTCTCCATCACTTGATGTCTTTAAATCATAGAATCATAGAATATCAGGGTTGGAAGGGACCCCAGAAGGTCATCTAGTCCAACCCCCTGCTCGAAGCAGGGCCAATTCCCAGTTAAATCATCCCAGCCAGGGCTTTGTCAAGCCTGACCTTAAAAACCTCTAAGGAAGGAGATTCTACCACCTCCCTAGGTAACGCATTCCAGTGTTTCACCACCCTCTTAGTGAAAAAGTTTTTCCTAATATTCAATCTAAATCAAGACTGGATGTCTTTCTAAAAGATAAGTAGGGCTCAGACAGAAGTTATGGGCTTGATGCAGTGTTTACTGGATGAGGTTCTATGACCTGGGCTACGTCGGAGGTCAGACTAGATGATGATAATGGTCATGTTCCAGTATCGGATATGGACTGGCAGCAGAGCCTGCTTATACACATGTGACGTGTTCATCATAAGTTCCTTTAATGCTCTGCCAGGTATGGCTGAGGTTTCTTTAAATCAATGGTCACCAACCTGTTGATCCCGGAGCCTCGGCCAGTCAATCGCAATCTCTGGGCCGCTAAAAGTCCAGTGGGTGCAGGGGCTCAGCCCTGCCTTCCTTGGCCCCACGCCACTCCCAGAAGCGGCTGGCTGCTGGCATGTCTCTGCGGCCCCTGGGGGAAGGGGAGGGTGAGACGGCTCTGTATGCTGCCCTCGCCCTTTGCACCATCGCCGCAGCTCCCATTAGCTGGAAACCGACCATTGGGAACTGCGGAGGTGGCGCTTGCAGGTGCGAGCAGGAGTGGCGTGGGGCTGCAGCAGGCAGGCAGCCTGCCTGAGCCCTGCTGTGCTGCCTGTCCTGCCTGGAGCCTGCACCACGCCACCCCATGCCCAGCCCAGAGCTCCCTCACAGACCCCACACCCCCTCCCACATCCCGACCCCTTGCCCCAGCCCAGAGCCCCCTCCTGCACCCAAACTCCCTCCCTGAGCTTGCACCCCAAGTCCCTGCCCCAGCCCGGTGAAAGTGAGTGAGGATGGGAGGAAGGACTGGAGGGAGCAGGGCCTCGGCGAAGGGGCGAGGTAGATCCTGGGTTGATCTTAAATTCAAAATGTGATCTTGTGTGTAAAACGGTTGGAGACCACGGCTGTAAATGAACACGGTGCCACCTAATGGCTGAATAGTGTAATATGGGTTAGCATTCCATTATAATTATAGTCCCTTCCAGCCTCAAAATTTATGAAAAATAGTCTTAAAAACCATAAGGCCTAGTTTAAATGATTCCAATCCTGAATGTTAGTCAAATAGACATTGTAAGAGAATCTCTGCAGTAAATTGTATTAATCCCCTCTGGCCACCAGAGGACACTGTTCAGACATAATTATTCACCCAAATAGTGAATTGGAAGCCTGATGGGAAGTGATTTTAATAATTCACTCACATCAGAACTGGAGTTTTGCTTTAAAGTTTTCAGGTCTCTCAGGTCCCCCTCTCCTCCCTACTCCCTCAGTGGAGTAATGTAGCAGCCACTTTAATAACATAAGAACAGCGATACTGGGTGAGACCAAATGTTCATCTAGCCCAGTGGCCAATGCCAGGTACCCCAGAGGAGATGAACAGAACAGGTAATCATCAAGTGATACATCCTGTCGCCTATTCCCAGCTTCTGGCAAACAGAGGCTAGGGACACCACCCCTGCCCATCCTGGCTAATAGCCATTGATGGACCTCCATGAACTTATCTAGTTCTTTTTTGAACCCAGTTATAGTCTTGGCCTTCACAACATCCTCTGGCAAGGAGTTCCACAGGTTGACTGTGCATTCTGTGAAAAAAATCTTCCTTTTTAAACCCGCTGCCTATTAATTTTATTTGGTGACCGCTGATTCTTGTGTTCTGAGGAGTAAATAACACTTTCTAATTTACTTTCTCCACACCAGTCATGATTTTATAGATCTCTATCATATTCCCCCCCCCCTTAGTCGTCTCTTTTTCAGGCTGAAAAGTACCAGTCTTACTAATCTCTCCTCATACAGAAGCCATCCCTTACCCCTAATAATTTTTGTTGCCCTTTTCTGAACCTTTTCCAATTTCAGTATATCTTTTTTGAGATGGAGCGACCACATCTGCACTCAGTATTCAAGATGTGGGCATACCATGGATTTATATAGAGGCAGTATGATATTTTCTGTCTTATTTTCTATCCCTTTCTTAATGATTCCCAACATTCTGTTTGTTTTTTTGACTGCCACTGCCCATTGAGTGAACGTTTTCAAAGAGCTATCCACAATGACTCCAACACAGCCCTTGTTTGTGCGAGTGGAAGCTGATGTAGATCAGGAGTGAGTCTAGCTCATTGCAACCCATATCAGCATGCTGTTTAGAATGAAATGAGTGCAAATAGTCACCTATTGGGTGCAATCACCTGTCCTAACTGCAGCAAAACCATCATACTTGTGGCCGCTGTTCCACATTAGTTACACTGCATTATGTAGTCACAATGTACAACAGCCAGAAGACAGCAGTACTTTTATTGGCTGCATTAACAGGTCTAATACACACAGCACCATGGCAGACCTACCTCCTACTTGACGGGCTTGGATAAAATAGATTGTGTTCACCACTGAGCTAAAACAGATCAGCAGACATGGCGATTACACTGAAAATCACTGGACGTGGAACGAATGGAGAACATCATACACAGTTTAAAAAACCAGCAGATTAGCAGTAACCTCTGGTTTGAAATGGTTGTCACATTCCATAGTTGACATTCTCCCAAAGACAAACTCATTAGCGTGTAAAAAATGATTAACCTAAAAATTGGGTCAACCACATGCATTCATTGCACTGATAAATGCAGAATAATATTTTACGATTAATGTTTAGTGTGATTGTTTTTTTCCATCGTTATTAGCAGTAACAGCATAATGAAGTGATGGTTCTTTTGCTTCATTCCCTTCCCCCTCACCCCAGATGATATAAGGTTGGAATTGCAGAACAACGCTGACATCATCAATCAACTGAACACATTATCTACCCTGGCAGTAAATGTATCCTCCTGTGTGTCGTTTGATCGCATTCAGGTGGCAAAAAACAGAGAGGCGCTGGAAATGGTAGCTAAAGAGCTTTTTTTGAGGAATGAACTTTTTGGAAGTAAGTGCCATGTTCAGTTACAGAAATGCCCATGTAATTAATGAATTAACCCTTTTTACCCTGTTATCATGTGCAGTAGCCAAAGTGCAGTTCATGAGTCAAGTGCTATACCCAGAGTTCTATACTAGGAAAACAATAGGTCCCAGCAAACAATGCTCAACCTGCAATCTTCAGCCAATCAGCCATGACATATTGCATGGCCATGCCTCCTTATCACAGATGAGAGTGGGCTACAATCTGCTCCTTTTCATGCAGATAGGTGTAGGTAGCCCTTGGTATCCTGGCAAGGTGCCAGTAGGGTCTTCTGTTGAGCCACCTTGGGAACCCCTGGTGAATCTCCAGGATACAGAGCTGTCCTCCAGATAGGCCTGTAGAGGGAAAGGGATATGTAAAGCAAGTAATATGAAGAGACCACACCTTTCTTTAGCAGATCATACTGTTCTTAAAATGCTTTAATGAAACCAAATAGTAGCCCATTATTGTAGGAGACATATATTAGCAGATGAGAACTACATTCGTAAAAGGCAGATGAATTTGGCCCATTAATATTTGGCTATCATATCAAGTAGGGAAAAAGAAAGGATCTTATGTGTGACCTTCGTTTAATTTTTAAAGGAATCGGAATGCGAGCTCAGGACTTTCTTGAAAGTCCCATAAACTGTTCTTTTTTAATATCCCATAATTCAAGCCACCATTAAAAACATCTCCCTTATCAACAGAAACTCTACTAACCTTAATAATGTGATGTATCAGTAGTTATTAAAACTGATTTCTTGTACCTCTATCATACATGAGATTTGATAATCTGTATATGGAATATTTATAGTTTTCCTAGTCGGGTTAGATCTAAGACCAAGGTTTTCCAAAAGTGACTAGTGATTTTGGGTACCTCCAATACTGAATGCTGATGTACGAACAACTTAAAAGGGTCTGCTTTTCAGAGGGTGGGTTCTTGGCACCCAGAATCACCAGTCAGTTTTGGAAATGTCAGCATAAATACAGTGTGAGCAACAACAGCTAACTCTGCTTTGACATGCTTGATAGTGACAACAAATTGCATATCTAGCTGAGCAGTAGGCTCTTCAGTTAAAAGACGGTTGGGTTTTAATATGCAAAAGGGTTATAAAAATGAGGAGTTCAGATTTGATACTTATACGTGGCACTATCCTACTGCAACCGTTGTTGACTGAAAAATAAATTTCACTTTGTTTTCTCAAGGTGTCATTTTCAATCTACCATCAAGCAGTAACAGACAGAGGAGAGCAACTCCCGACAGTCTCTCCCTTCCTCCACTAGTCAATTATACCATCCGAATGAGCAGCAGGATTTCCCAAACGACAAATAGGATCAGGGAGAGGATCTGGACCGTGGGCCCACATAATTCAACCTCGCAGAGCCAGATCTACAGCCGAGCCTTTATCTATATCCAGGACAGTATCGAGAGAGCAATCATTGAGTTGCAGACTGGGAAGAGTCCAGAAGAAATAGCTGTTCAAGTCCAGGCCACTCCCTACCCCTGCTACAATAAGGACATGTAAGTTCATGAGCCCTCAGGAAGTCAGCAAATCCATACCCTTGCACTGAGGCAGGACCAAGTAAACCTAGACCATCACTGAGAGGTGTTTATCTACAGTGTTCATAAAATCCTCTAGTGATGGGGATTTCACAACCTCCCTTGGAAGCCTGTTCCAGAGCTTAACTACCCTTATTGCTAGACATTTTTTCCTAATATCTAACCTAAATCTCCCTTGCTGCTGATTAAACCCATTACTTCTCATCAATGACAATGACTTGCAGAACGTGTTATACATTAGCAGGATAATTACAATGGTTGGGACTTACCGGCTTCCTCAAAGCCATGCTCCCATGAAAAGAAAATCATAATAGAAAAGGAAAATCTATATGAAGATTTAAAGAAATATTATTTTGTTGTTTTAAAGGATCCAGGATGAGACTCTGGCCCTACCGAAATCAATGGCAAAACTCCCAGTGACTCTAGTGGGGTGAGGATTTCACCCAGAGTGCCTTGTCTCATCATTGTACTATAAATATGTGAATCGTCATAATTCCCATAGGTACTACTGTAGGTGAAAATTACTACCTCCATTTTAGAGACAGGGAAACTGAGGCATAGCGAGTCACTGGCGGAGCTGGGATTAGACTTCAGGAGTCTTGGCCTATTTCAGTAGGTGTATAAATCCAGATAGTAGCTTAGATAGTAGCTGAGTAGCAGATAGTAGCTTATCTGTTGAGGAAAAAAAAAGTCCCTAAGTTTACGAGCCTAAATATGAGCTTTAAGTTACTTGATATTACTTCAAGTTGCGGTATTTATTTTTTGTTCCAGCAATTCCAGTTTAGACACCATTCATAGTGTACAGTTCTGCTACATATGCCTCTCTCTCTCAGGGGTTGCAAGAGCTATAGAGGAGATGAGGTTGTAACTCTCCTCTCAACAATGTTGAGGGGAGACAGATGAGATTCCAGTGCACTGAGCAGTCAGGGTTAACTGCCTGCTATACCAAGTGGTGCAGTATGAATGGTGTGTGAACCAGAGTGAGTCTTGATAAACAGACTGGCACAGGAGTGAGGAGTTTTGGATTCTGCTCACCTTGAGCCAGATCTCAGTGGGCGTAAATCAGCATAACTCAGCTGACTTCAATACAGCCATGCCACTTTATACCAGCTGAGGATCTGGCCCCTGGGTGCGACAGTTATGATAAGAAATGGGATCCTGGGTCTGTGATGTCTCTGAATTATTACAGGGACCAGAGGCGGCATCCAAGCTGGGTAAACACATGTGTGAAAAGCCATTTTCAATGTATTTTACAGCAGTGAGGGATGTTCAGCAAATTGCACTGTTGGCTTGGACACTCATTCTACAGAGGGCAGTATAACTGACTCCACTCGGGCAGACCGAAAGAGTTGGGCAGGGACGGTGTCCCTGGCCTCTGCTTGCCAGAAGCTGGGGATGGGCGACAGGGGATGGATCCCTTGATGATGACCTGTTCTGTTCATTCCCTCTGGGGCACCTGGCACTGGCCACTGTCAGAAGACAGGTTACTGGGCTAGATGGACCTTTAGTCTGACCCAGTATGGCCGCTTTTAATGCAGGACATTTCATTCTCAAAGCACGAGGTTGTGCCACCTGAACTAAAAAGCTAGCTGCATCCTGTAGGGCACTTGTTAACCTTATAGGTCGATCAGCCGAGAGACCGAGAGAGAGAGAGTTGTATTCTCCTAATGTAGGTTACAATAGGATAATTCACATGCAAAGGTCTGCCACCTTATTGTGACTGTGAAGTGGTCAGGAATAGTTCAGACAATATGTCAATTATTTACAGCAAAAATACAGATTATTATTGTTAAATCATTGTGTACTATGATGAACTATTTCCTGGAGGCACTCATTATTGAGCTGTAAGCTGCTTTTCTCGCACTCTTGCTGCCAAGAAAACAACTCACCTTCACAATTCTCTTTCCCCCACCTGGAAAGTTCAGAAGATGCCATTTCATTCAATCATTAAAATACCCAGGAGCTGTGGAATGACGCTGCAGTAGAAGCTGCTATAAAATCAACATTCATCAACTGATACCGCTTAGTTACCATTTTACAGGCAAAGTTGTGGCAATCTCATATGTCATTGTACCGTAACATTTGGAAACTGCTGAAATTTGGAGACCTGGTTGACGTTCTTTTTAGTTGAAAAATGCAGTTTCATCTAAATCAAAACCTTTCATGAACGTGGGTTGATTTTTATGACGTCTTTGAGTTTCCAACTAAAACAATTCAGAACAAAATTAAATTTTAATTTCGCTTGAAATAGTTTCATTTGAGACTTTTTGCAGAAATAGTACTGGCTTTTTTCATCAGAAAGGGAACATGCTATATGTTCCTTAAAATTAATCTACTGTGGAAAATCAATCAGGTAACAATCTTGTTTTCAAATACAGTAGGCTCAATTTACTACCACCACTACTTCCTTTTGAGTGGAAGGAAAGTCTGCTGGCTAATGCATAGGGATGAGGATCAATACATGTGGATTCTAATACCAGTTCTGTCACAGTCTGACACTGGGCAAGACATTTGGGCCACAGTTTGCAAATGTGGGTGTCAAGTCAGGCACCTGAATCCAGGGAAATAAGCAGCCCGATTTTCAGAAATGGTAATTATCTGCTGACTGTATTGACTAACTTTATTCGGAGTCATGAATTCCCAGCACTTTGGATTTAGGGGCCTAACTTTAGGCGTACAGTTTTGAAAATGTTGGCCTTAATTTCTCTGTGCTACAGTTTTCCCAGCGGTTAAAATCAGATGAATAATACTTACATGGTAGCAGGGTAAAAAGGGTTAATTCATTAATATTTTTAAACTGTTTGGAAGGTCCTATGTAAGTACAAAATATCCTTATTCTAATAATTATACTCTACATTTAAAAATATGAGCATGGTTTTCCTCTGCAAAGAGTATTGGTTTGAAAAGTATATTCTTCATAAATCCCAATCCAGCACATTTTCTATTCAGCTAAATCCTGCATTTGTCTTTTACAGGTTCTTAAGCAGTGTGACCTACTCTCTTCCATTTGCTCTGATGGCTGCTTGGTCACTGTTTATAGCTGCTTTTGTGAAAAAGCTTGTTCAAGAGAAAGATCTAAGGCTATATGAGGTACAGTAATGAAATTATGACTAGATTTTCTATCTAGAAGATAATGTGACATTGACTGGAGCAACATAAGTGTTAAAAGCCCCGTTTTCAATGTATAAAATGCACATGTTAAACATGTAAATGTATGGAGTCAATGAAATGAATGAATTGTAGTTGAAGGGAAATCACTTACTTTCTTTGTTAAAATGAGAGCTGGCGGCTGACAGAGTTTCTGCAAATAAACCAGCTCCTGCTGCGTGTTTCCATTTAGGTGGGTGGGGATGACAAGCTGTCGATGTGTTATTAGTGGTTTTATTCAGTGAGGAATGGGGGACAGCTATATGAAACGTTCAACCTAAAATCAACTTATATACAGCCTGGTTCAAGTTTAACCTGTGTTTCTGAACGTGCTGCAATGGTTTGCTGGAACTGCTCTGTTTGTGTAAACTGTCTTGCAAATCTTTTGTTATCTTGACTTTTCCTGAAAGGTCGCTCAGGGCAATCTAGTCACATAAGTCTCATGGCTCGTCTCTTGTGTCCCTGATTGGACCCATACCCCGTGTGATCAGGAGGGGTTTGCAAACTCAGGAGACACAATGTTCCCTGGGTATCTAAAGGAGAGGCTGAAATTGGGGCAGGCCCCCAGCCAGTACAATGCCCCAGGTGTTGTATTTTACATCATCTCTTGCGAAAGAGAGCTCTTGGCTCATTGCGCCTACCAGAGGGAAAATAATAGCATTGAAAGCAAAGTGAAGTTCTTTTCCCTGCCATAATTTAATTGGATTTTCAAAGTGAACATGGACTACAGCCTTGAGAGCCAAAGGGCTTTTGCAAGCCTAACCCTCAGCAATCAACAAGAACTCAGACAGATCTGTTCCTGTTACCATTCCCATGGAAACAGCTGCTGGATCACCAAAAAATGTCTTAAACTAATGGACACTTACAAAAATTGAAGGAAATTTCATGAGTTCTTTTCTTAAAACAACCCAAAACCAATTAATTGATTGATCTAATTGATCGCAGCTTTCATGCCATTTTCCACAGGAACCAGAGGAGCGGCAGGCTTGTTAGAAATGTAACCAGTCGCATCAGTTATAGAAAAGAGCTGTGAATGTGGTTTCTCTTGCAGCACATAATATTCTTAGGCTACTAAAGCTGAGAGGGCCAGGTTCACAGCTGATGTAAATGAGTGAGCCTTTGTTGCAGCAGTGTCTGTTTATACCAGGAGGCTCTGGATTTCTAGTGTTAGGTAAGAGGGAAATGAGGAAATTGACTTTTTCTTTTACAGTGAGGTCCTTGGTTGAGATTTTAAAAGTGTCTTTGCAGTAAAACCACTCAATAGTCTTTTAAAATATACTCAAAATGTTTTAGAAAAGCAACGAATACTATAGGCTTATACGAGAGGCTAATGTTAGTATTTGCGTTGGATTTTGGGGGCCATGTATACCTTCTGGGACATGTCACTCTTTTACTGGACTGTTCTGCAAACACAGGATAGTCCGAAGATGCAAATTTGCTAGGCTACACTGGTTTATAAGTAGAGCATATGCCAATATTAGAGAGGGCATGCTCTAATTTCATGCACTATCCAGAGTGTGAGAAGAGAGAGAAGTATTTCAGTGACAAGTATATAATCAGAAATATCTCTTAATAAACAGCTGTCCCTTTTCTGCCTTCTTTTCCATAGTACATGAAGATGATGGGTGTCAACTCCAGCAGCCATTTCATTGCCTGGTTCATTGAAAGCGCCACCTTCCTTCTAATCACAGTCATGTTTCTCATCATTATACTGAAAGTTGGCAACATCCTGCCCAAAATCAATGTGGTGATTCTGTTCCTGTACCTTATGGACTACAGCCTCTCCATCATAGCCATGTGCTACCTCATCAGTGTCTTCTTCAACAACACCAACATCGCCGCCTTGGTCGGCAGCCTTATCTACAGCCTCACCTTTTCTCCCTTCATTGTGCTGCTGGTAATTGAGAATCATTTGAGCTTTTCAGTGAAGAGTCTGCTGGTAAGTTTTTTTCTCATTAAAATAAAGGGGTGGGGGTGTCTGGCAGCAGACATTTGCTTCTGGTGCTCCCGAGGGTCACAAATGAATGTGAGCTGAGTGGCTTCATTCTAGACTCTGCTTAGGGACATCACCAACCCACTGCACAACGTGACGCAAGGTAGAATTCTCCAGGTTCTGATCAAGAGCTACCCACAGCTAGACTAGCAAGGCTGTTATGGATAGAAATGAGGGATTCTGTCAGCGCTTTAAGGGAAGGTTGCTGACTTCATTACACCTGGCGCTGCCAATTCGTTGATTGCACAAACCTCAAATTCCCCTTTACATAGCAATGAAACCAGACCTCAAGAATTATAACGTAATGCTTGCTCCAAAAGAGAAAAAACAAGATGATCAGATATCAGTTCCTTTCTGAACTGAGATATGGAATAAAAGGACTTAGCAGGAGGGGCAAAACATCTCACTGGCTAACGCATCTCTGTCCTGCAATGGAAACCTCAGATCCTGCACTCCATTGGGATCCCACAATGTAAAGCAGTTACACCCAAATCTTCAAATACATTTAGGCTCCTAACGTCCACTGATTTCAATTCAAATTGGGAGCCTAAATACCTCTGAGGATCTGGGCCTTAGTGTCATTTTGGCATACGGGAGTACCTTTCTCATTGCCTGGACTGTATAAAGTCAAGGTATTAGTCTCATAAGTAAAAACCTCTGACTGGAGACAAAATTTTCTCTGGAATCATAGATGTTTAGGTCCCAAAAGCCAAATTCATTGCTTGCATAAGCAAACATAAGTCCACAGAATTCAGTGGATTAATTTTGCCCCGTGCTTCAAGTAATTCTGACTGACTGATTAACTTGCAAAGTTGCAATTTTTCAAAATTTTTATCTGCCAAAATCCTCTCTTTGTGAATACTGCTTGCGTAAGATATCGAACTGTCTGATTTTTGTGTACAAATGCATGTTTTTGCACAAAGAAGCAACTGCATATGCAAAATCATAGGGGCACTTTTAGAGACCACCACTGAAAATTTTATCAATAATGTGTTTGATCCAGTGCTCACTGAAGTCAGGGGAAAGATTTGCTGCCACATCTCTGGCCACTGGATCAGGCCCAGTGAAGGTTTTTTTGTGAATTCTTCAGTAATTTTGTTTTCCAATTTGTTCCACAGAGCCTGTTGTCCCCAACTGCATTCAGTTATGCAAGTCAGTACATTGCTCGTTATGAGGAACAGGGCATAGGTAAGTAGGGGACATATGAAACTAAGTTTTGCTCCTTCATGACGGTGATACTTCATCAACATATTTCACACTATATTCTCTATATCTTTACTACAGGCCTGCAATGGGACAATATGTATAGCTCACCCATGTCTGGCGACAATACTTCTTTTGGCTGGATGTGCTGGCTAATTCTGATAGACTCTTTCATCTATTTCATTCTGGGCTGGTACATTAGGAATGTTTTCCCAGGTAAGAATGCCAAGTATTACAGGCGACTGCCACACAGTCTCCCTTGAAAATTATAAATCAGCCCTGGCGGATTCCAGAATTCATGGGAGTGGGTAGATCTGTCCTCGGCAGTGCCCTCCACTTGTAGATCAAGGAGGCGTGATTTGCTTTTTAATTGTATGTGACACACAGTAATAGCTTAGGGGGTGTCCTTGGGTTCCAGTTGTGACTGGGTATCTGAGAGGTGTAATGAATCTGTGACAGGGTGACGCAGCAGCCCAGAAAGGGTTAGGGGGTCCCTGCCGGTCACATGGCTAGGTGGGCTTTTTAAGAAGCTGGACTGGGAAAGGCTGCGTATCTTTTCCCCTGGCTGATAGAAGCCAGGGAAAAGCCTTTGGGGATGTAGCCAGTATTTGTCAGCATAGGAGCCGACTCCGTGGGTGCTCTTGGGCTGGAGCACTCATGGGGAAAAATTAGTGGGTGCTCTGCACCCACTGGCAGCCAAGCTCCCCTCCCCCCCTCCTCCCTTGAGCATGCCATGTCCCCGCTCCTCCACCTACCTCCCAGCGCTTCCCCCTGGCCGCTACCAAACAGCTGTTTGGCTGCTCCGGGGGTGGGGAGGGAGGGAAGGAGCGGAAACATGGCGCGCTCAGGGGAGGAGACAGGGAAGAGGTGAGGCCGGGACAGGGATTGGGGAAGGAGTCGGAATAGGGGCAGGGAGGGGGCAGAGTTGGGGCAGGGACTTTGGGGAAGGGGTTGGACTGGGGGCAGGGGTGGGGGCAGAGGGGGATCAAGCACCCACCAGTGGGAGCAGAAGTCGGTGCCGATGTTTGTCAGTGGAGTTGTTTTATTTTGTGTCCTACGGCTCCTTTCATTTCACACAATAACTCATGCCCTGAGGCAAGGGGCTTTAAAGGACTTGGATGTGGTGTTTGTTTCCCTTCCCTGGCTGGTGAAATGGTCTATCAGTGTACAGACACCTACAGTGGGCCTGGGAAGAAAAGTAAAGTGCTCCTTCCATCTGACTATGAAATTACTCAGGATAATATATTACACAATATTTCCTACTATGCAAGCGGAGAAAAATCCTATACAGGAGTTACCAATCGTACACGTGGGCATCAAGGCGAGGATAAACTCCTCCGGACTTTATCTTTGCTATTCACCAGTGCGCAGTCGCAGCCAGTACTTTCTGTAAGATGTCAACGAGCATATACTTCAATTTGCTTCTTTCCTCCTTTTTCCTTTTGTTTATGGTTGCAGGAAAATATGGCATGGCTGCCCCATGGTATTTCCCATTGCTTCCCTCCTACTGGGCCGAAAGCTACGGTGACAGACCATTATGGAACGAGAAGAGATGCGGACTCCTCTTCACCAAACTCTTGCTCAGAAAAGAGGCTGCATTCGCCAGTAAGATGTGTACGTGCCTACTAGAATTGTTAATGATGGTAATCCCGGCAAGCGCTATATGAAGCTAAGTTTACAACGGGGGCGCCATGTCGTGTGTAGGCAATGTTTGTCCAGAGGAATGGACAGTACAGGAATGGACTTGTTAAATACTTAACAAGTCCATTCCTGTACTGGAGAGATTGCTGGTTGCAGTGGTAGCCCAGTTGTTTTAAATGTAAGGGATAACTCTGAAACCTTTCCTTATCTAGAATCAGAATGACCGGGTTAAGTACACCCGCTCTGCCATGTCTATGTGCAAACTTGACACTGGCCCATGCAATCTTAGAGGGGTGCAGTTACCTAGTTTGGACATGCAAATGCAGGTTTGCCTTTGACAAAAGGGATGCCTGTATTTAAAAGCTTGCTAGGTTTACCTAAGGTACATAAATATGGTTTGCTTGAAGAAAGGGAGTACTTGTGGCACCTTAGAGGCTAACGAATTTATTTGAGCGTAAGCTTTCATGAGCTACAGCTCACTTCATTGGATGCTCACGAAAGCTTATGCTCAAATAAATTGATTAGTCTCTAAGGTGCTACAAGTCTTCCCTTTCTTTTTGCGAATACAGACTAACATGGCTGCTATTCTGCAACCTGTCACGGTTTGCTTGGTATTTTTAGCATGCCCTATGCGTGTTTTAGGGAATACCTTCAATTCTGGAAAGCTGAGCTAATATTATTTAGTTAACTACAGGCCTAACAAAAAACCCCTTACATTGACGTCAGGGAGTGATGGATCCAATCCCACAACTGCTATCAAGCCGTAGTGCTTACTGCCTTGAGAAATCATATGAAAACCAGTTAGACTCTTCTCACTATGCTTTGTAGCAAGTGTTTTCAGGATCAGGACCTAAGGCGTTATCTCAGACAAGTGGCAAGGGATTAAGGATGGCAGGACATAATTCCATGTCTGTTTCTTTTTAATCAGTTTGTAACATAAATTTCTTTAGTTTGTCTTCTTCAGAAGCATCTGAGCACAGAGCCAGGATCTGCTGAGTTTTAGTCCTCGCTCTTACTCCCTCTGGGGCCTAGGGCAAGTCACTTCAGCTCTTTGTGAGGCTGTGTCTACACTGGAAACCTTACAACAGCGCAGCTCTATCGCTGCAGCTGTGCCACTGTATGGTTTCCCATGTAGCCGCTCTATGCCAATGGGAGAGAGCTTCATTAATTTAATATATAATTGAATTAAACCACCCCCAATGAGCGGCGGTAGCTATGTCGGTGGGAAAGCGTCTGTACACACCGGTGCGCCTGTCGGTGAAAATTACGTTGCCTGGGGGTGTTTTTTTCACACCCCCGACCGACAAAAGTTTTACCAATAAAAGTGCTAGTTTAGAGAGAGCCTCAGTTTCCTTGTTTGTACAATGTGATTAGCACTGTAACCCTTCCCTACCTTCCTGATAGGGGTGTTGAACAAACTGATTGATTAGTGAAGACGGGTTAAACGCTTCGTTCTTATATAATGCTTCTCGTGTTCATAAAGTGCTTATTATTTCAAATAATGGCTTTTTATAATATGAACAGGAATAGCAGCAGCTAAAATAATGAGAGTACAATGCAGACAGTTAAATTAGCATCATTATTACTACTAATGATAATAATTAATTTTTACAAAAAAGTGCCTAGAGGCCCCAACCACGATTGCTCCCCCACCCCCAGCGAGGCCTAATGAGAGACAGTCCTGGTCCGAAGGAGCTCACCCTTCAAACAGACAAGACAGACAAAGGGAGGTGGGCGGGGGGAGAGAAGTAGTGGAAGTGTCTTGAGCAAGGTCATGGACAGGTCAGTCATCAAACCATGAATAGAGCCCAGGCAGGGCGGCGAGTTACATGGGCCCATGGTGCCCAGGCTCCAGCAATATTCAGGGCCCAGGGGCCCAGCTCCACCAATGTTTGGGGCCAGGTCTCTCTCCCAGCCCCACCTGCTGCCCCCACGCATCTCCTCCAAGTGTCTCCCAGACCCCACTTGCTGCCCCGGGCGCCTCCCGTGGACCCCGGAGCATCCCTGTCTCAAGCTGGTGGTTGCCCCCTGCAGCTCCACCCTGTGCTCTGCTGTGCTGGCTCCGGGCATCAACTGCTGCCGCAGGGTCCTAGTGACCCCCTCCTCGGGCCAGGGCAGGCTGACCCTGACCCTGCCTTTCCACCTCGGACCCTTCTTTTTTTCCGTTGGGACCCTCCACCAGCACAGGGGTCCCCCCCCCCGGCCCGCAGTCACTGCTCCTGCCCCATGCTGGGCAAGGGGCAGCCCCATCCACCACCCCCAGTGAGGCTACAGTGAGGGGCAGCAGCAGGGGAGGAGGCGCACATGTGATGGCAGCCCCCCCACCTGGCACACACCACAGGGAAGGCAAGGGGGCTTCCTGGACCTGAGAGGGGCCCTAGGAGCATGTGCAGTGACAGTGGTGAGAGGTGAGTGTGCTGCTGGGGGAAGGGGAGAGGGCCCCCCCCCCGGAGCTCGCTGGGGGGGGGGTCCTCCTCTCTGGCCCCAGCCCTGGGGCAGCCTGCCTGCACTCCAAACTCCTCTTCCCCTGCCCTGCCCCACCCCAGAGCCCGCACCCCCAACCAGAGCCCTCACCCTGCCACACCCTAACCCTCTGCCCCAGCCCTGAACCCCTCCCACACCCCAACCCCCTCATCCCCAGGCCCAGCCAGAGCCCTCACCCCTGCATGCTGCACCCCAACCCTCTGCCTGAGCCCCCCCACACCCCAAACCCCTCATCGCCAGCACCACCCAGAGCCCTCACATTTTTACATAATTTAAAAATATATATATAGGCTTACAAGGCAGGGGTGTGTGTGTGGGGGGGTACTTAGACCTATTCTGGGCACCACCAAAAATTATACAAATGTGCCGCCCCGGGTGTCTTGACTCCCAGTTAAGTACCCTGCCACTCGACACACCCTCCCTCCTCAGACAGTTGTGTATTTATTGAGCATTATTTGCGTTAGGTGGCATGGGCATGGGGCCACTTATAAACTGATTAATTTTTACTGATATGTGTTGTTATAAGCTGTAGAGAGACAAGGTAGAGGAGGTAAGATCTTTTATTGGAACAACTTCTGGTGGTGAGAGAGACAAGCTTTCGAGCTACACAGAGCTCTTCATCGGGTCTGGGAAATGTACTCCAAGTGTCACAGCTAAACACAAGATGGAACAGATTATTTAACATAAGTAGTTAACACACATTTCCAGGGGCCATTCAAGGTGAAACGGCCTATTGACAACCCTCCAGTCACAGGGAGGAAAGGAAAGGGTGTGAGGAAAAGGCAGCTTGTTGGGAGGTTGGGGAGGGGGGGTTGTGTGGATTGTAGATTGCTGTAATAAGCCATAAATCCACTAGTGCCTCTGTTCAGCCCGTGATTTTTAGTGTCTAGCAGAGTAATGAATGTAAGCTCCCAGGCTCGTCCTTTGAAGGTGCTGTGCAGGTTTCCTTTGAGGACGAGGACTGAGAGGTCCGATATAGAGTGATCGTTTTGTGAGAAATGTTCAGCCCAGGTGACAGGGTGTTTTTTCTTTTCTCATTTTCCTGTGAGAGTTCATTGGAGAGTGCAGTGATTGTCTGGTTTCACCCACATTGTTGGTAGTGGGGCATTTAGTGCACTGGATGAGTTACATCATATGTGGTGATAGGCATGTGTAGGACCCATGGACCTTGAAAGGTTTGTTGCGGGAGGGTATTGATCATCATAGCAGTGGAGCTATGTCTGCAGGTTTGGCATCTGTTGTTCTGGCAGGGTCTGGTGCCGCTTTGAGTTGCTGTGTGCTGGTCTCTGGGAAGCTTGCTTCTGATGATGAGTCTGGAGAGGCTGAAGGTTGTTTGAAGGCCAGAAGAGGGGCTTCGGGAAAGATGTCTTTTAAGATGTAGTCCCCATCGAGTAGGGGTTGTAATTGTTCAATGATACCCTGTATGGGTTCCAGTGTGGGGTGATAGGACCAACACATCTACAGCACCACATACAATCATGGAAGTTTGAAGCTGTAGGAAGTTAGAGGGAGAAATATTGGAAAGTTCAAAAATGATGCAAATACCAGGGAATGTTCCCAAGTTTTCAGCTGACAAGAATGTATTTCTCTTTATTGTTCTTTATAAAAAGCCCTATACCTTTTCTCGATAAAAAGGTCCATAGCCTCATATATAAAGTCATAAGTTATCTCTTCTGGTTCTTTTTTTAGATGTCAAAAGTGCCCTTCCTCCTAACCTCGAGCCTGAACCCCCCAACCTCACCGTGGGAGTCTCTCTTCATGGAATAACAAAGACCTATGGCTCCAAAGCTGCCGTTGAGAACCTCAGCCTGAACTTCTATGAAGAAAACATCACCTCCTTGCTGGGGCACAATGGAGCTGGAAAAACAACGACAATGTATGTCTCTCTTGAAGAGTGGTTATTAGACGCTTTGTCAAATGGGTCTGTGTTGCGAGTGGGGATGAGTGAAAGAACAAATGGGAGTTCTCAGTGTTATAAGGTCTGGATAAGATGTCTTCTTTGATTTGGTCTTTTTGTAATTATCGTACATGGTGTACCTTGCCCCTTGTCCATCCCCCCTGTTATAGATAAGGGTGTTTTTCTACTTTGGAGTCTGACCGTACTGGTTTAGAGCATTTTAACAGGGGAAAGTGATCTCTCCTGATATCGAGGAAACAGAATTAAAAGCCGTAATAGTCATTGGGTGCGTCCTAATCTAATGGAATTCCTATAATATTATATAGCACAGCAGTGACTGCAAGTTCCATGGCACTTTGGTGCCCATGGCAACTTGCTCCCAAAAGCAGCGGTTGATTGGCTCATATCCCAGGCTGCAGCAGTATTGGGAAGAAGCTTAATGGCTGCGTATTTAAATGAAAAGCAAATGAGTCTGCTGGGCTGGGAAGAGCAATGGGTTAATCTATTTTGGCCTTTCAGTTCTGCCAGGTTTGCATGTTTTCATTATTAGGATTTTTAAATAATGAATCTTAGAACAGACCTGTAGGACTGGATTTCCCCTGCGTCCAAGCTGTGCTCAGCACTAGGGTGGGATGATGAGCCCCCCAGGAGCTGTTTACACCTCCGGCGCTGTGAACTGGTCTGTGGAGAATCCAGGCATGCGTAAAAGCAGCAGGAGTTAGAGCAGCCTAAGGAACCCTACATCACAACAAGAGCAATGTAGCACAATGGAACTCCACCCCACAATTGACATCCATCCTAGCTCCCCAAACATGTCCTCTGTGCTGCACTAGGCTGGGGAATGACTGTTCCAGGAGCAGCTCCATCAGTCACACAGGTGCCTAGGTTAGAGAGTATGAAACCCAGAGTTCTCCATTGTAAGCCCACCTCTCTGGAGTCCTATGCTGCAGACTTAACACAAGGCCCTCCTTCCTCCCTTCCACAGCACCCCAGCATTAGAGCGATAGGCACAGCATACCAAACCTTGCAACAACTGAAAGGCCCAGGAATGACGAACATGTAGGCGTTACCCGGACAGTACATTAAGCTGATAAGTAAAGAGATCCCTAGGAGGACTGAACCCACAAAGGCAGACACACCTTATGACTCTGGATTACTAATTCATCCTGTATCCGCCGAGGAGATCACAGAGAGAGATAGTGTGAGAATAATCATAGTGACTTTCTGGAACTTGACAGCTCGGGCAAATTCTGACGGGGATGAGCAGGGGTCACAGGTTCCTTTCTTTTCCTTTTTTAAATGCAATTAAGGGAGGGTTGGAGTCCCAAGGGAATGAAGAGCTCTTGCTCAGGGCTTAGCAGCAGCTGGAAAGGCCAAGGGGCAGCTTGAGAAATAGCTTCTCCTTTTAAACCCTACAGGAAGTCTCTGAAAGCGACCTATATTGCATTAGTAGTCATTATGGGGAGAAAGTACTTTCCTCAGTTCCACTGGGTATTGCTGGGTAGGTAATTATTTGCCTGAACTAACCTACTGGATGGAGACCTGAACTACATGAGGTGCTCACTGTAGGTATTTTGTCTGGAAGTCTACGATTTGCTCTTTTTCTTGCTAAGAATGGCAGTGAACTCAGTGAACTCTCACTTTCAAAGCCAATGTGGTTACCAGCAATTTGGAGGTCACTAGATAGTGCAGCTAAAACTCTCTAAAATTTAGAGTGATCTTCACAATGTGGTTTTTCAGTAACTAAACAGCAGCTCAGGGGTCCATATTTATCTAAGTGTGGGGTAAGCCCAGTGGCCTGATGGCAGAGCAGTGTGCTTCCACAAAGAGGATCTGAGTTCAGAACCTGAGCTTTGGCCCCTTGACTCTGGGCCATCAGACCCTGAGCGTGTTGCTGGTATAGAATAACCCTCTTATGGGCTCCCCAGCAAAGACACAGAGCTGACAGGTTTCAGAGGAACAGCCGTGTTAGTCTGTATTCGCAAAAAGAAAAGGAGTACTTGTGGCACCTTAGAGACTAACCAATTTATTTGAGCATGAGCTTTCGTGAGCTACAGCTCACTTCATCAGATGCACAGGCTCTGAAGGGAACTGTCTTGTCCTCATTGGCGGAAAGGAGCGTTGCCATGATGTGGAGTCTTTGTGAATGGCAACAGGGGAGGGATAAAAAGGTGAAGTGGGGATACCTCTTGCTCCCTTTCTCTTTACCTGGCTGCACAGGTCAGTCCAGTCTTTCCTCATGCTGTAGGCCCCCAGAGCTGTCTGGGACTTCCCCTTGGCAGCTGGAATGTGGCTGCCTTGCACTAAATCAAGGAGAGTTATATTAGGAGTCCCGCTAGGGGAATTCTGCTAGGCGCTCAGCGAGCCCCTGGGGAAGAGAATCTCCGCATTTGTTTACGCCATTTTCTTTTTTCTCCCAGATCTATTTTGACAGGGCTGTTTCCTGCATCATCAGGCACGATATTTGTTTATGGCAAGGATATCAGGACCGATCAGGACCTCATCAGGAAGAACATGGGTGTCTGTATGCAGCACAACGTGCTATTTAGTTGCCTCACTGCCAAGGAACATTTGCTGCTCTATGGCTACATCAAAGTCCCGCACTGGAGTGAGCAGGAGCTGGATGAGGAAGTGAAAAGGTCTGATAATGCGGATGCCACACTCCCTCAGCATGTGTCACCTACAGTGTTCTCGCATGTTAATGCAGAGTATGGCTGTAATAGTCACCACAAGTGGTTGGACTCAATGCAGGAATCACTGGGTAAAATTCTACAGCCGGTGTTAAGCAGGAGGTCAGGCTAGGTTATTATAGTATCCCTTTTGGCCTAAAATCTTTGGAGCTAGGAAAACATGGACCCTGTCCCAAGGAACTTACAATCAGCTGTAGATATTCTTCTTGATGAGATTCCCCAGTATGGTTCCAGGTACTTTGCACCACTCCAGAGACAGAGCTCCAACGAGCCAGCTAAAATGGGATTAGAGCTGCTTTGTGTCACCAAAACGTGCAAAGACCAGGAACCTACCAGTGAATCTGGCACTTTGTGTTCTCCAGCCGCAAGATCCTGCCCTTAACCTTGACATGTCAGATGGAATTTTTGAAGCATCCTAAAAAACACCCCCCCTGTGTCTGAGCTACATGTTAAACTATCATGCTGCATTATGACAATTCTGCATGGCAGTTCATGCCTGAGCAGTTTTTCATTTGTGTTAATGTTGCTTGATGCATTCAGATTCCCTTCCTTTTGCTAAATAACTGAACTGCAGCCTTTGGGGGCTTTTTTGCGTTTTGAAGGACTCTGAAGGATACTGGCTTGTACAGCCATCGTCACAAACTAACTGGCTCCCTGTCGGGAGGGATGAAAAGAAAGCTGTCTATATCGATAGCTCTCCTTGGTGGATCAAGGGTCGTGATCTTGGATGAACCAACCACTGGTGTGGACCCATGCTCTCGGAGGAGTATTTGGGAGATTATATCGAAAAATAAAAAAGGTACTGCAAAGATACTCGGGGTAGCATTTTTTAAATGCACCCAAGTGATTTAAGCTCCTAAGTGGCTACATCACTTTTGAAAATGGGACTTAGGGTCCTTTGTTGCTTTTGAAAACATTACCCAAGATTCTTACACATGAAAATCCAGCAGCAGTAGCCACAGTTAGAAATGGGGGCCCTGGCAGGTAAAAGTTGCCCTTGCTGCTAATGGCAGGATTAGGGTTGGTTGGAAAATGGTTGGATGTTCAAGAATGGGTACGGACAGGCTTGGCCAAGCAATTGTGTCCCTCATCCAGGCTCTGATCCAAAGCTCATTTAAGTGAATTAGAGTCTTCAGTGGGTTTTGGACCAGGTCCCCAGTCCTTGAAAAATATTTCCAGAAGAATTATAATACATTTATCAAGGAGGGAGCAGTTTTCTCGAAGTCTTAATTATTGTAATAATTTCATGAAAGGGGCCTGACTGACAGGCCACATGATTCATGCCCGATCTTGTACTAGCACCCAAGTGACTGGTCTGAGGGCTGAATGGTTCAACCAGGCCAGAATCCTTCTCCCTGGGCTATGAAGTAGCAGCAGGACTGCTCCCGGGGCATTACTCCAGCCACAGGGATGGATGAAGCTCCATAGCCCAAGCACCTCTGGATCTATAGCTGGTGGAAGATCCATTGGTACCACCTTTTTCTGCCTCTCTAAAAACCTCCATGGCCTATGAGATATGGAGACCACAAAGAGCTGGGCTTTATGGGGAATAGGGTCTTTTGAGACCCTCGATGGGCTCCTGTTATCTTCCGCTAAATTCACTTTGAAAAATTAACTCTGCCATAGTGCTTAGGGGAGCTTTCAGTTTCTTCCTAATTTTGCCTCTTAATCAACTCCACTATTAATTCTAGACATGTACATATGATATTCAATGCACTGTCTGTAGCCCTCATTTGACTGTCTTTTGCCTGTACCACATATTTCAAAATCTCCATTTATTCTATCATGTGTCTTTTGCTTTGTTTTCATATGCATTTTCCAGGCCGAACAATTATTCTCTCTACCCATCACTTGGATGAAGCGGAAGTTTTGAGTGATCGAATTGCGTTCCTGGAACATGGAGGACTCAAATGCTGTGGGTCTCCATTCTACCTCAAAGAAACGTTCGGTGATGGATACCACCTGACTCTCACTAAGAAGAAGGTTTGTAACTGTGTTGGGAACTGAAGAGGTTTAGGCTGAAATTTTCAGAAATAATGAGTGGTTTTGGTTGCCCAATTTGAAATACCTTCAAGGGGCCTGAGTTCCATCGTAAAAAGAATTGAGAAGAGAGAGGCAAATAACGGCATCCCATGAAAATCAAGCACACTGTGGAAAGGTTGGTAGAAGGTCTTATCTACATGGTGGAAATTGACCAGAATAGCTATTCTGGAATAATTCTCATGTATGGACCCTTTATTCCAGATTAAAAATGATATTAGTCCAGAATAAAGTCACTTTTATTTCAGAAGAGTTCCCACTTGGGGAATTATTCTGGAATAGCTATAGTGGCCAGTCTGAGTTTCCCCAGACATGCCATAAGTGGTGGAGTGAATCAAAATGAAACCTTGAGTCCTGATTCAGCACTTAACCATACTGGGAAAAGATAAAGGGTTTATGGGTAGGGTGACCAGATGTCCTGTTTTTAAAGGGACAGTCCTGTTTTTTGGGACTTTTTCTTATATAGGCGCCTATTACACCCCCACCCCCGTTCCGTTTTTCCACAGTTGCTGTCTGGTCACCCTATTTATGGATGCCTTCCAGTCACATGGCTGCTCAGGTGGGGTACAAAAGGAACAGGAAGCTGAGTCAAAAGGGGAGTTTAGGGGAAGGGTGAGTCTTCTCTCCTCCTCGCTGTCTAAAGCAGGGAAAGCCTCTGGGAATCTTGGCCCAGTGTTTCTCAGCTTTCTTAGCTTGCAGTCATACTTATCCATAAAGTAAGCTTGAAGGAGATTAAGCAGATGAAGGTCCCACATTCAAAATCAATGGGAGTTGTGGCCCTGATCCTTCTTGATGCTTTTGAAAATCTCAGCCTCGGCCAATGGGGCTTAAGCACTTGCTTAAAGTTAGGCACGTGCTTGAAGTGCTTTTCTGAAAGGGGGCCTTTGTGTGCAAGGTTTTAGTCTGATGTGCTAGGGGACAAGAAACAAAATAGTGGGACGTAACCAGAAAATAGAGAAATTCCCCAGGGGATGGGGGTGGGGGATTTCCTTGGCCATGGCATCTCCACTTCTGATTACCAAGTAGCTGCTCTTATTACTCCTGAGGGCATTCTGTGCCAAAAATTAAAAATTCTGCCCCAGAAAAATAAAAATTCTGCACACAATATTTTAAATTTTTGCAAATTTTATTTGTCAAATAAATGTGGAGACTCCAGCATAGCATTGGGTATCACTGGCTGCACAGAGGTGGGAGATCATTGTGCAATGCCCACGGGACATGGACTCAGCGGTGAGACTGCACCCAACCCTGACACCGCTCAAGGACTGGGGTTACCCCAGAAACACCCCAGAGCCCTGCCCCTCTGTGCCAGGTGCACCAGGCAAGCTCAGCAAGGCAGGATCCAAGTGTGGAGGGGCTTAGTGTGGGGGGATCCAGGTGTGGGTTGAGAGGGTTCTGTGTGGGGCAATCTGGGTGCGGGTGGCTCAGTGGGGGATCCAGGTGCAGGGGGGATCTGGATGCACAGGGACTTGGTGGGGGGTTCTGGATGCAGTGGTAATGGGACTCTGCAGGGGTGTCCCGGTGAAGGTGGTTGGGGCTCAGTGGGGGGAGGGTGTCTGGATGCGGGTGGGATAGAGCCCAGCAGAGGGGGTATGGGTGTGGGGGGCTCAGTGGGGAGTCCAGATGCAGCTGGTTCAGGCTCGGTAGGGTGGGGATCTGTGTGCAGATGGCTTGTCTGGGTGGTCCAGGTGCAGAGGGAGTGGGGTTTATTGGGGGGGGTTCTGAGTGCGGGGGTGAGGCTTGGCAGGCGGGTCTGGGTATGAGGGGGTCAGGATGCATAGGGGTTGGGCGAATGGGGGAGCAGCTCCCTGTACAGGAATCCCTCCTCCTGCAGCGGAGGAGTGATGGGTGCAGGAAGCGGGGGGGGGGGGGGGGGCTGAGGGGGAGTTTGCAGAGCTCCCTTCAGCTGGGGGAGAAATCTGGTGGTAGATCTGACCCAGCCCCAGATGCTGTGCAAGGGAAGAGGAAGTCCCATCCTCCACAGCCCAGCCGGGACTAGCAGCTGAGCCCGCAGGGTAGGAGCCATCAGCCAGGTCTTCGTCAGTCCCTCCTCCTGCCCCACAGTGATTTACCTCTCTGCTGGCTGCCCTAGGCCCGCAAAACATGCTGCATGACTGCTCTTGTTGCTTTGCTTTGCGTCCCTGTTAGGAAGTCATTTTTCTGTGGGGGAAGCAAAGAAATCTATACGGGACATAAATTCTGTGCATGTGCAGTGGCGCAGAATTCCCCCAGGAGTAAAGTCTTACAGAGGTTCTGTGTTCCTTCTGACAATGAGACCTTCAGTCTCCTCACTCCACGCTCTGCGCCTGTGTTGCGGTCTATGATGGTTTACCAGAGTAAGCCATACCATCCACAGAGAGAGCTGGCTGTCAACCCTGCTGCTATTTATAAATGATACTGGACCAGCTAAACCCCCCATGGCCCAGGGGCTGAGTGCTGGGCCAGCTCAGGGAGGAAGAGACTAACAAGGGGCAGAGGCCTTGAGTTTGCCTTAGAGCAGAGAGTTCTCTAACTAGGCCATTGACCCACCCTCTTTGCCCCCCTGAAAGCTGAAACACAGACGTCCTCCATTCTAAAAGAGGAATAGGATATCATGGGAGGTTAAAGGCAAAGCTGCCTGTCGAATGTAAATTCAGCAGTTGGGAGAGAGTCCATGGGAAATGTCTTCCCTGGAGCCGAGTGTTATGCCACTTCACAGAAGAAGAAATCTGCTATTGATACTATGGTATCATCAGAAGCCCTGCCAGGTAGGGTACTTTGCAGACACTTAGTGAGAGCCACTCCATGCCCCAAAGAGGTCACAGTCTAAATAAATAAGAGAGACAAAGTGAGTATTATTAGCTCCATTTTACAGGTGGGAAATGAGACACAGAAAGCCTAAGGCTCAGCTCTTCAGAGGGATATAGGTGCAGAACTCCAATTTAAATCAATGGGAATTAAGTGCCTACCTACTTTTGAAGATCTGGGTCTAAAGGTATGTCTACACTGCAGCTGGGAGCGAGCCGCCCAGCCTGGGTACACAGACTAGCATGAGCACGCTGAAAATAGCTGTGTGAACATTGCAGCTTTGGCAGAGACACAAGGGGCCGGGTGAGTTAGAGCTCAGGTGGCTAGCCTGAGTCTCTGCTGGAGCTGCTTCGTACACAAAAAAACAACAAGGAGTCCTTGTGGCACCTTAGAGACCAACAAATTTATTTCAGGGGAGGGACAGCTCAGTGGTTTGAGCATTGGCCTGCTAGCGTTGTGAGTTCAATCCTTAAGGGGGCCATTTAGGGATCTGGGGCAAAAAAAATTGGGGATTGGTCCTGCTTTGAGCAGGGAGTTGGACTAGATGACCTCCTGAGGTCCCTTCCAACCCTGTTATTCTATGATAAGTTTTCGTGGGCTAGAACCCACTTCATCAGATGCATGGAGTGAAAAAATGTAGGCAGGTATAAATATATAGCACATGAAAAGATGGGAGTTGCCTTACAGTTGGCGCTCAGTGTTAAAGAGGCCAATTCAATTAGGGTGGATGTGGCCCATTCCCAACAGTTGATAAGAAGGGAATGGGCCACATCCACCATGATTGAAATGGCCTCATTAGAACTACAAAAAGTAATTTTCCCTCTGTTGATATTCACCCCTTCTTGTCAACTGTTGAGAATGGACCACATCCACCCTAATTGAATTGGCCTCGTTAGCACTGCCCCCCCGTTTGGTAAGGCAACTCCCATCTTTTCATGTGCTGTATATTTATACCTGCATACGTTTTTTCAATCCATGCATGAAGTGGGTTTTAGCCCACGAAAGCTTATGCCCAGATAAATCTGTTAGTCTCTAAGGTGCCACAAGGACTCCTCGTTGTTTTTGCTGTTACAGACTAACACGACTACCCCTCTGAAACCTATCATACACACAGCTATTTTGAGCATGCTCGTGCTTGTCTGTCTACCCAGGCTGGGCGGCTCACTCTCAGCTGAAGTGGAGACATACTCTAAGTGACTTGCCCAAGGTCAATCAAGTCTATGGCAGAGCTAGGCCTTGAACCCAAATCTCCTGCAGCCCAGTCCAGTGCCTCAGCTGTAAGACCATTTCATCTGCCTTTGATAAAATTGGAATCTCGTGTCTTGAAGACGGTTCACATAACACTCGCAGATAAAGTCGTGGGTTAGGAGGCTGGCACCCCTGACTGATATTTGATCATCAAGAAATATCTTCTTTTCCTAGTGTCCAAACCAGAACCTGGCAGAGGAGTACAACACCTCAGCAGTGACCTCCCTGATCCAGTCACACCTCCCAGAAGCTTATCTCAAGGAAGATGTTGGTGGAGAGCTTGTGTATGTGCTTCCACCATTCAACTCCAGAGTCTCTGGAGCGTATCAGTCTCTCCTGAAGGCTCTAGATACCGGCTTGAGTGATCTCCATATTGGCTGCTATGGCATTTCAGACAGCACCGTGGAAGAGGTATGAGTTTAAAATCTTTTAGTTTTAATTAAATGATATGGAGAGTCTGTGATTAACTTTCCCAAAGATCTATAATTCTGCTTTGGGGCCAACCAGTGACACGACTGGGTGGGAATGGTGTGTTGTTGGTTTTTGGTAGGTTAGTCGGCTGGTGCCCACCCCCACCCCCGCCCACTGGGTTTTGTGTTTTGTTGTAGTTCTATTTTTTTTAAAGTCCAGCAATGAGAATGTTCTGGCTCACCAAAAATTCCCACCTTGCTCAGTGTTTTTCAGTATCTTCCCAGGAAAAAGAGATGATGGGCCGGGGGGGAACGGGAGTGGTGCTGTGCTACTTAACTTCTTTTGGCAATCCCAATGAATCAGGGTGTTTCGGCTGAAACAATCAGAATGAGAGAGTTCATAATATCTACATTTTGTATGTTGTCCATTATGCTTCAGGGTGAACACCATATAGGCCACTCAGAATGACTGTCTCCGTCTGTCTGTCTGCAAACCCACAGAGAAAGTGCTGCATCGTTTCCCATTCAGAAGCTTTAGTTCACTAACATAAATGTGTTCAGATGAAAGAGTAAATTCTTCAGAAACTGATAGGGGCTGCTGGAGAGGCATTGGTCCAGGTGCCCAGTCTGACCTGTTGGACTCTAACCCCCAGAAAGTGTGTTTTCTCTATCCTAGCCAAAGTCACTGTGAGGCTAGTGTTGAGAATCTGCTGACATTTCTTGTGAAGAAGATTTATTTCCCACTGCTGAATCATTAACTCCCACCAAACACAGGCATTCAGCGAAACATAAAGAAATTTTAAATATTAAGGGCTAGGTTATCACAGCCCTTTCCTGGCAGTGCAGTAAGGGGGCAAAAGGCCACCATTACCCCCTTGAACAGATCTCCTGGACTTGTCTTCACTGCAAAGTTAATTTGACTTAACATGGGTGTTGCCCATCCCCACAAAACCCCCTAACTTGAGTGCTTTTAATTTGGCTGGACCAAGAGGCTGTGTCTTCAGTAGGCAAAAAAGTGTGTTCTTAAGTTAATTAACTTGAGGTAAAATCCTAGCAAGGACAAAGCAATTTGTGATTTTTACATGGGTCGGCAGGTCAAGTTAAAAACTAGGCTTCCCAGTAATCCTTAATGCGACTTGCTGACTTGTGTGAAAGTCACAAATTGCCTAGTCTTCACTACAATTTCACCTCAAGTCAAGAACACACCATTTTTGCCTAGTAAAGACAAGACTGAAGCGGGTATAGGGTAAAACCTGAGGGAACGCAACTTTTCAGTTGACAACACAACCATTCTGCCGTGCAGATACAGCCTACTGCCACGCGAGTGCTGTTAGTCTTCCAATGCCTTTCCTCAATTCCCCCCATGTGCCCAGACAAGTTCTTCTGTAATTCACTGGGAAAAAGTGTAACAGCAGCACTAAGAATCATGGGATGTGTCCCCAGAAGTCAGAGCGCCACACATAAGTCAGTGCAGACATAGCAACTCGAGTGTTATTTCACAGCGTGGCCTCTCACTCGAGCTAGCTACTCAAGAGAAGTCACTTGAGTGTAGATAACTCGGGATAACTCCGCAGTGAAGGAAGGCCCTCTCAGTGGGGTGAGCAAAGGCTTCTTGCTCAGTACGCCCCACTGCAAGTGAACAGGCAGAGAGGGAACCTGGGTGGGTGGAGACTCACTCACTAGCCAAAGTAGCTGATAGGGTGCACAGTGGAGAGGAAGCCACTCCATCAAAAGCGGCAAATTTACACCTCACCCAGAGCAAGGAGGACAGCAGGGAGGGGACTTTAATTCAGAGGGGTGTCTCTGAATCTCACAATGTCTTATGAAGGCCAGGGGCACAACTGGATGATAAGAAGACAAGCTGAATGGTTGTTCTGTTTTGTCATTATGCTAGGGAATGATTGTAACTTGGAATATTCTTCTCTTTTGTTTTCTTGTCCTGTAGGTATTTCTTAACCTGACTAAAGACCTGGAGAAAGACAAACAGCATGATCCTGGATTGTCCCAAGAGGCCAGTGGACTAATGGACACCAAGGAGATGTCTCTGAGCACGGATAGCGTCACTGAAAGAGATGGTACTCATTTAACGTGATTTTATTCCCAATTTATACCAAGTGTAATTAATGACAGCTAGGCTCAGCAGTGAACACACTGTCTCCTTTCTTTGGTTAAATACAGACCAAACTTCAGCCAACCAATCATCATCTGTCCAATACAAGTACAGTACATATTAGTTTTATAATAATACTGGTTTCTAATTGTCTGAATCACAAAAAATGTTCTCAATATATTTTTTTACCCACCTTCTGATAAATAAGTCCTTCCTTAGAACACAGGATTGGGACTCAAGAGAACAAGGTTCTATTCCTGGTTTGGTCCTTGGCCTGATGGGTGACCGTGAGTAAGTTACATCACCACCCTATGACTCACTCTTGTCATATGTAAATGGAGACAATTAAACTGACCTCCTTTGAAAAATGCTTTGAGCTCCATTGATGAAAAGTGCTAGATAAGAGCTGGGTATTATTATTATTATTTAATCCAGTCAAATACAGCTCTCGGTAAAGGTGCAAATGTGCATCTGAGTGTAAGCACTGTAACGGATGCAGATGATTATTTATAAAAATTAGACCAGCCTCAAAGAAACTACCTGGAAAGACCTTTAATTTTGTGTAGCACAAACGCAGCTAGGGGAGAGTGAGCTGGTTTCAGTTTCTTTCTGTCATAACCATGCTGGCAGATTAGAAACCTATCTTTTTGCTTGTAAATGGACCCTGTAAGATAGAGAAGTAATTGAGGAGATACAGGCTAGGTATTAGAAAAAACTTTTTTTTTTTTGGATTTATAATTTTTTATTAATTTTTCCAAATACAACCAATATACCAAAATACCAGCTTCATCCTAATACACAAAGTAAGTAAGGAGGGGTAGATTAAAGGGAGGGGAAGCAACATGTCTATCTTCAGGGTCTGCATTCATCATAGACCTCTAAAAAGTCAGCCCAAATAATTTTGGGGATGCCAGAAGCTGGGAATGGGCAACAGGAGATGGATCACTTGATGATTTCCTGTTCTGTTCATTGCCTCTGGGGCACCTGGCATTGGCCACTTTCAGAGGACAGGATACTGAGCTAGATGAACCATTGGTCTGACCCAGTATGGCCGTTCTTATGCCCCTTCTGCGGAATGCCAGTTGTTAGGAAAAACTTTCTAACTATAAGGATAGTTATACACTGGAATGGGTTACATAAGGGGGCTGTGGAATTCTGGAGGTTTTTAAGAAAAGATTAGACAAATACCTGGTCTAGGTATACTTAGGGTATGTCTACACTGGAACGCTCCCGCAGCAGCGCTTTGAAGTGCGAGTGTGGTCGTGCGCGGGTGCTGGGAGAGAGCTCTCCCAGCGCTCCTCGTAATCCACCTTACGCTCCCAGCCTGTCTACACTAGCCCTTTAAAGCGCTCAAACTTGCTGTGCTCAGGGGGGTGTTTTTTCACACCCCTGAGCCGGCAAGTTAGAGCTCTATAAAATGTAAGTGTAGACAAGCCCTTAATCTTACCGCAGTGCAAAGGGCTGGACTAGATGATGTAGGATTAAGTATAAACTCAATTCCAGCCCTGCATTTCTATGATTTTATGTCCCTTCCAAAGGAGAGCACTGAACATTATTTGCTTGGTCCTGTATTATATATGTGGTAATATTTCATTCATGACAAAGAAAACTCTGATGGACCAAATAGAGAAGAATATCTGGTACAAGCATTTGTCTCCATTTTTTATGTATTCTGTGCAATTATCCATTAGTTTACATGGCAGTTCCTATGCCTTGTTCTTTTTCTTCATTTTCAATTTTCAGATAAGTTTTATTATTGATTTGTGTGTCTAAGAAGCTATTTATTAAATGATGAAAACATCAAACTTGCAAATATGAACAGCTGTAAGTTTCCTATGCCAGTTACAGTTGTACATGTAAGCTATTTGTGTTTTGCCGCTAGGGTAAGGAATGAGGAAGGATGATTCAGTGGTTAGTGCACTCCCCTGTGAATTGGGAGACCTGGGTTCAGTTCTGTGCTGTGGCATTGCTTTCCTCTGTGACCTTGGGCAAGTTACATCAGCCCAAATCCTGATTTGAACAGAAGTTAGGTGCCTAAATACTTTTGAGGACCTTGGTCTTAGTCACACTGTGCCTCAATTCTCTGACTGTAAAATGGGGCTAATAGCACTTCCCTACCTCACAAGAGTGCTGTGAGGATAAATACATTAAAGATTGTGAGGTGAGCAGATAGCACAGAAGGAGGGGGGCAGCATATAAGTATTTAAAACAGGTAAAAGGCTCACTCCCTCTCGCACACAGGCAGGCATCTGTGAGAGAGAGGGGTGATGTAGTGACCTGATCTAGGAATGCCTGAGTTCTAATCCCAGCTCTGGCCTTGGGTAAATAATTTAGCCTCCCAGCTCCAATTCTCTCCATCTGTAAATGGGAACAGTAATATTTACATACCTCACAGAGGTGTTGGGGGGGTTGATTCATAACTCTGAAGTGTTTTGACAATGACAAGTGCTAAGTGGGGTTCTCTTTATTATGCACAGACCAAGTCCTGGTTAGATCAAAAAAGGTGACCGGTTTGCCACTGCTGCTCAAGAGGACAACAGCCGTTTTCATTAAGAGGTTCCACCACACCCGACGGAACTTGAAAGGCTTTTTTACTCAGGGCATCCTACCCGTGATCTTTGTGACAGTAGCCATGGGCCTCAGCACATTGAGAACTGAGGTGGCTGAATACCCAGAACTCCACCTTTCTCCCTCCCTGTATGGTTTCTCAGGGCAGGCAGATTTCTTTGGGTAAATCTCTCTTTTTTCATTTTTATTAAACCTGTTTTACTGATTGTGCTGTCAGGAGAGTGACTAAGCAAATCCAGTGGAAAAGTGTTACACAGAAAACCATGTAATAATAAAGTCATATTCCTAGGTGGTCTGCCTGGGAGAACAGTTTTGCTAAACCCAGCAATCTGAGAGCTTAAAAAAATAGCTTGAATAACTTAAAATCTCTCCCTAGGAATTAACTCGGAAGTATGTGCTCCAAGGTTTTAATGGTATTTGTCATTGAAATCCACTGCTGACAGCAGCCATCTTGCCCAAAGGGATATATTTCACTTCCTTTTTGTAATAAGAAGAGGGGGTGTACCTATTCCCAACCCTTGGGCCTTCAGCTCCAGGCTACCTAGATTATAGGTCTGGGACTGAATTCTAGCTCCCAACTCATGTTGTGGGCCCATCTGCCTCTCTCTTCCCATCTTCATAAAAAAGCAGAGGCTCCATTATCTAGGCCTCACTTAACCAAACCTCTCAGTTACCCAAAGGTTAGTCATGTCTCCTCTCCCACCCCACCCCTGAGGTTTGATTTCAGTACGTAAGCCCTTCCCTATTGAAGCCTGGGGGTCTTCCTAACCATAAAGACTTAATTATGCTTAAAACCAGCCCTTGACTTCTCCAAAACCTCACCCAAATTAATGTAATGTGCAGCTTTCTAATTCAATAATGAAGTTTCCTGGCTGTCTCCAGTAGACCTGGTCTTTCAGTTAGGAATACCAAATTCAGCTCAAGCCTTCTCCCCGCTGCCTTGTTGCTCTTAGAGTTCTTACCTTAGCAGTGCTCATGTCCTCTTCTTCTAGCCAACTGCTATCTGGGTGGGGTGGGGAGGCAGAGCTACCTGCCTCAGTGAGTCAGCAGAACTCACGTCCTCCATTCCCAGCATGACCTATTCCTGCTAACAGGGTGGGTGGTTTAAGGCAAACACTGCCAAATGGATGGATTTGGAGGGAGGCTCTTCTTTGAGCGGACTAGAGTGTTTTGGCTTCACAGAAGACGGGGGGAATTGATGGAGGTGAGAATGTTGACATGTACCTGTTCTAACTCCATTACCTGAAATCACAGTAGATGGCTCTCATTTGGAACGAAATTCAGAACTGCCACAATCGTATACGCCATAGCGACCCCTCCCACCCCCTAGGCCTGAATTCAGCAAAACACTGAGGCCTGTATGTAACTTTAAGCATATGAGCAGTCCTGTGGAAGCCATTGGAACTACTCTCATCCTTAAAGTTACACAGGTGCTTAAGTACTTTGCAGCACCAGGGCCTAAAATAATTTATTTCCAATCCTTATTTCATGCACTGGATGGGTTTTTACTACTGGGTCCGTACTGCAAGTATCTTGAACACTTCTCTCGTTCTTTGTTAAATCTTAGGAACTTTAATGAGACCACAGATGCTTTAGTTGCTTCGATGCTTTCTTTCCCTGGAACAGATAACACATGCTTGAATGAAAGCAACTCGTAAGTAGTTCTTCATCTCCTTCCTTTTAAATTCCTAATCTGAAAAAAGGAAATGACATAAAATTAATAGCTGTCGGGTATGAATAAACATCCTTTGATCAGCTGCAAAGTTTTCATACCCTGGAGTCACATCAAAAAAGGCTTCGTCTCTTGCCAGAGTTCCCAAAGATAGACTCACCTCTTGAAGCAATCTGATTTTAAAACTCCTTAAATTTACAAAGAAAATCAAACTTGTCTAAACTCGGAGGACTAGATTGTGCAGCCCACACACGCTATGGTGAGCGCTTACATGAGTAGTCCACTGACTTCACTGAATTTACTCACATGAGTAAGTTCTCATCATAGGTGGTAAGGGTTACCCTGTAGTAAATATAGACCAGAATGAACATCTTGGGTACTACTCAGCATAAGGAAGCCTATCACAGTCTAGCCCCGGAGGCCGGGTAAACATCCAAGCTTGAAGGGTCTCGTATCTTTTGGCTGAGTGGGCAGAGGGTGAGGTTTCCTGGGATTTTACTGCTAAATCTTCAGGGGGTCGGTGCAGTAACTGCTGAGAATTCCTGAGTGACTTCGTACATTGTGTGCCGTGCAGAGAAATATTTGGGCTGCCTAGACACAATTTGTCAGCCATCAGAGGACTATCCAATTAATGCAACACCCCTGAGAGGGGGGGTTATGTTTCTTTTGTAAGATAATTTTGTCCTCTTCATGTTAGCTTCTTAGGCTGCTTTCTACGGGATTTGAAGCAGCCTCACCAGGCTCTTTCTTAGAAGTCTCACAGCGCAATCACTAGAAACAGATCTAGCAAGAACCACTAAGGAGCAAGGCCAAGCACCTCATCAGCAGAGCTGAGCAACCTGAGCCCCCAGTGAAGTCAGCAGGAGCTGAAGGATGCTCAGCACCTCCCGAGAAGCACCATGAGGAACATCAGTCTCTGCAATGTGTTACCTGTGCTCTGTCATCTTCAGTCCATTCACTAGAACTCTGCCATTGTGCAATTACAAGTCACCTGCTTGCCAGTATACAGAAAATCTCAGGGTAACGTGTGCTCATTTTCAGGGTGTGTTTGAACGACAGCATGCTTGGCCAGTGGGTATTCCATGGAAACCAGAGTACTAGATATTCTGCATGCAACTGCACAGCCAGCAGCCAGGTAAAGTTAAACCTTAATGGGGGAGAGTAAATTTAAAACACTCAAGAGGTACCTAGTGTGCTGGAGAAACTATCCTGTGGGACGGCTCACAGGCCTGGCATTGTGACTGGGGAGTCATTACCGCCAGGTCGCTGCTTCAGATTCATCCTAGCTTGTGTTACAGTCAGTAGCTCCTAGAGGCCCTAACTGGGATCAGAGTCTCCTTGTGCTGGGCATGATGCACAAACGTTGTGAGAGGCTGTCCCAGTGAGCTTTCTGCCCAAGGCCCTGCTCAGGCAAACATTTATGCATGTGTTTAGCTCTCCTACCGCAAGTAGCCCCAATGATTTCAATGTGTTTGCAGGAACAGGACCTAAATGGGCAAAGGGTGGAGGAGAAATAGGTCTGATGAAGTGATGTGATCCCTTGTAGCTTTTAAACTCCACAAATCGGAGGCCCAGGGATGTGCTTAGCTGAATAGGGGTAGACTTAAGCCTGTGCTTAAACTAAGGCACACGTGTAAGAGTTTTGCTGAATTGGGACACTAATCAGAATGTATGGCCCAACACTACAGAGCACCGGACTCCTGTCTTTGTGAAGAATTGACCCTTGGGCGGGGCGGGGGAATATAAATTTTGCCTTGTGATGTTTTTAATTAAAGGAACAATTTTTAAAACTTGTTTTCAGACTTGTCCAAGGATTGACTTCTCCCCACCTCACAAAAGAACTTTTTCCTCTCGGATGATTTATAATCTTACTGGGCATGATGTGGAAACGTACCTTCTAGCAACTGCCAAAGATTTCCTCCAGAAAAGGTTGAACATACCACGATTTCTTCTCTTTCTCTTTGTCCTGTGTCTCACTGGCCAGTGGCTTCTTACGTGTTTGATTCTCCTTTAGGAAAGCAGCCTTTTTATATTCATTTCTCACATTGCTTATTGCAATAGGCCCAAGACGGTTACTTTAAAGTGTGGTGGGACTCCATGTTGGTTGCACTGAGCACTCTGCTAAGTTATATTGTACAGCGTATGCGTAACTACTGAAAGGTGCAGCTATAATGGGCAACCCCCCCCCCTCCCTTTACTCTGATAGATTTTGAAGAAAAGCCTTTGTCCAATCTAGAAACTTAAGGAAAGAAATCTGGCAGAGTACCCAGTTAAGCAAGCCTTGTACAGAGATTGTAGAATCAGAGTTTGGGTACACACAGTATCTAAGTGGGTGCTTCAGTCCACTGAAGTTAAGATTAGGTACATGCTTAAACCGGCTAAACCAGGGCCTTATGCTAGCTGGTGCTGTATAGCACAAGCTGGGTTTGTGTGTGGAAAGTGCTAAGGTGCAAAAATAAATGTACAGTTAAATTAGTCAAGGGAAAACCTACTCTCCGTACTGACTGAAAGGGAACTGTTCATCTTCCATGCAAATCTTCCACAAATGTGGAATTGTACCACTAAAGAGGGTAGAAAGATAGCTTGACTCCGCAGGAACCAAAATGCATTTCAGAATCGTGTTCGTCGACACAGAGCAGGACTTAGCTGAACTGTTACCTGTTTACTTGCTTTTCAAAAGTAAAGGCTCCTGCAGCAGTGTTAACTGGGCCACACTACAAACACTGGCCCAAATCCTGTTCTCACCTGCACCTGTGTGAATCCAGGGTGACACCTGTGATGATCATTCGTTGTATAGTGCCTGGAGGCCCCACGAGAAATTGACGCACCTCCAGTGACTTCAGCGGAACTAATGCTGCTTCACACCTGCCGAAGATCTAGCCCGGCCTCTTTCCAATGACAATAATGCATTTTGCTGTATTGTTTACCATGCAGATATGGCGGCTGGAGCTTTGGGTTGCCTTTGACTACTGACCTCAAGTTTGATATACGCCCAGTGCCTGCAAACAGAACGCTAACTAAGGTAATGAATGCCTCCTGCTGCAATGCAGCTGTAAAGTCAGTGCCGAGTGGACAGGCATCTGAAATGTCCATTGCTAAATGAAGGTGAAGCAAGATTAATGTCCTTGTGTGTTTTAGGGGCGTTACTGAGTAAGCACAGAACTCTTCATTTTACCGTTAACACAAGGAAATACATAGAGAATTAAGGAGGGAAAAAGAAATTGAAGGAACTGGATTCATCTCCACTGGTGAAGGGAGGGACACTGTACCCCTCAGCTCCCCCTAACTCTGTTACTCTTGCTGCATCCAGGACCTGCACCACCCAGAGCCCAGCTCTTCACTTTCACAAGCTCTCACTCTCCCCAGCCGCTGCTGCTTTGCTCCAGTAATGGCTCACCTAGCCTGGCCTCGCTAGGACTCCTGTCCTCTCCTCCCACCTCCACCCCATTCCCTCACTCTGCATCCTCTCCGCCAGGGGAGCAGCACAGAAGGTGCACCCAAGGGGATCCAGAATGACAGCAAGAGAGCCCTCTAGAGGGGTCTTTCAGTGCTGCTCAAGCCATTATATCCTGCCATCTAGCAGTGCCGGTCAGGCATAGGGATTCAGTTCTAGACTGCTCACGCACCATCTGTTATGAGGGTGAGCTGGGGTTTCTCCTCCCAGTAACAGAAGCAGTCCCTGGGCTTTGCCCAGTGTACACACTTCTCCCCTCAGCTCTACCCTGGTCATCAATCAAACTCCTATGCAGTCTTTCCACGCCTCATATTAAAAAGCCTTGTTTGGCCTTCACTTGAACTGCCCTGGACAGTTTGCCTCTACTGTGCTAGAGGTCTGGCATTACAAATGCAACTGTGTCCATTCTTTTAAATCAAGCATTGCTACAGATGACAAATGCCCTGCCTCCTAGAATACTACCTAACAGAGTGCCAGATATGCACCAGGGAGTTCATGTGAATAGACCCATAGACTCCTCGCTGGGTGAGTAACTGCTCACCAGTGTGAGTAAAGGGGGCACAATCTGGGCGGTAGTGCAGAGTCATTTGTACTTAGTCATGGGGCTGCTTGTTTTTCAATGTAGCAAGGTAGAGAAGGCCAACTGAATATTGGGCTATTTCAGAAAATACAGTAATCTTTTCTGGTTTGCATGCAGGTGGTCAATCCATCCCGAAATCGGCAGCTTGCCTGGGCCAAAGAACTAAAAAATATCTGTTTCCTTCCCTTATTTTGCTTGTCCCTGTCTTCTCTTTTCTCCATCTTCCCTCTCTTAGTCATTATGGGTATTACTAGTTGTATTCTTTCCTACCTACTGATGAGTGGCAAAGCCACACTAACAACACCATCTGCCCTTTGAGGGAGCGGGATGGACCCTCACTGCAGCCGACTTGTTTCTTTAGTGCACTCAGATTTACCCATTGCACTTTCTCATCTCTTCAAAAACGTTGTAACAAGTATAAATTGGCATAAAAAAATCCATGGTTGGACTCTGAAATAAAAGAGGCACAGTATGAAAACTGTCAAGATCTGGTAAATTCATGTACATCCTTATAGCCATGACAGTGTTCCTTCAAGCACAGTTCTGCTCTGAGATGTGGCTTCATACAAAATGGAATTGTGCTGTTACATAGTTTATTGTCTCAGTAACTTTCAGAGCAAACCTGCTCTGCTTGCAGGTAAAAAAGATGCTTTTATCTAACCGCCAGCCCATCAGCCTGAGCTGGCAGTCTGAGAATTAGTGCTGTTTGTTGTTATTCATCTTGCGGTAACACTTCGAGACCCCGGTCAGGTATTGGAATCTCATTGGCCTGGGCAAAGACTCCCAAAGAGTTTACAATCTAAGTGTAAGATGAGAAAACCCAGGCTGGGTCATTCAACATCCCCAGAACCTCCAATTCAGCTGTAGATCAAGTGCAGTTGAGATGTGCACTGATTTTACTGCCCATCAACGGGATGTCTGGGCACCTTCCATGTAAAATCAAGAGCAAAATCCTTAGTGGACTTCATGGAGTCTCTGGCATGTCTCATTTTCAGGGTGAAAACTCTGCTAGGGGTAAAGGTGGTGGATTTTTTATGTTTGGCTGGTTTTTTGTAGGGTTTTAGGAGTAGAAAGGGCACCATCTCTAGGTAAAGTCTCTGCAGTTGGAATGTTGGCAGCCATCCTGCACCGAGCCCTCCATAGATGGACACCTGAAGTTGTTGTGGGTCTGTACAGAGCTCACTTCAGGATCTGGGCCCTTGTTAACAGGTCTGGTGATAGTGCACAAGCCCGCTCCCTTTTCCCATAGCAGCATTGCCTCTGCAGGGCTAATGGGAGTAAAAAACGTACATGTGTCGCTAACGTAAGCAGATAGAACGTGTAATACACAAAGTGTGTATTCCATATACATGACAGCAAGAGAGCCCTCTAGAGGGGTCTTTCAGTGCTGCTCAAGCCATTATATCCTGCCATCTAGCAGTGCCGGTCAGGCATAGGGATTCAGTTCTAGACTGCTCACGCACCATCTGTTATGAGGGTGAGCTGGGGTTTCTCCTCCCAGTAACAGAAGCAGTCCCTGGGCTTTGCCCAGTGTACACACTTCTCCCCTCAGCTCTACCCTGGTCATCAATCAAACTCCTATGCAGTCTTTCCACGCCTCATATTAAAAAGCCTTGTTTGGCCTTCACTTGAACTGCCCTGGACAGTTTGCCTCTACTGTGCTAGAGGTCTGGCATTACAAATGCAACTGTGTCCATTCTTTTAAATCAAGCATTGCTACAGATGACAAATGCCCTGCCTCCTAGAATACTACCTAACAGAGTGCCAGATATGCACCAGGGAGTTCATGTGAATAGACCCATAGACTCCTCGCTGGGTGAGTAACTGCTCACCAGTGTGAGTAAAGGGGGCACAATCTGGGCGGTAGTGCAGAGTCATTTGTACTTAGTCATGGGGCTGCTTGTTTTTCAATGTAGCAAGGTAGAGAAGGCCAACTGAATATTGGGCTATTTCAGAAAATACAGTAATCTTTTCTGGTTTGCATGCAGGTGGTCAATCCATCCCGAAATCGGCAGCTTGCCTGGGCCAAAGAACTAAAAAATATCTGTTTCCTTCCCTTATTTTGCTTGTCCCTGTCTTCTCTTTTCTCCATCTTCCCTCTCTTAGTCATTATGGGTATTACTAGTTGTATTCTTTCCTACCTACTGATGAGTGGCAAAGCCACACTAACAACACCATCTGCCCTTTGAGGGAGCGGGATGGACCCTCACTGCAGCCGACTTGTTTCTTTAGTGCACTCAGATTTACCCATTGCACTTTCTCATCTCTTCAAAAACGTTGTAACAAGTATAAATTGGCATAAAAAAATCCATGGTTGGACTCTGAAATAAAAGAGGCACAGTATGAAAACTGTCAAGATCTGGTAAATTCATGTACATCCTTATAGCCATGACAGTGTTCCTTCAAGCACAGTTCTGCTCTGAGATGTGGCTTCATACAAAATGGAATTGTGCTGTTACATAGTTTATTGTCTCAGTAACTTTCAGAGCAAACCTGCTCTGCTTGCAGGTAAAAAAGATGCTTTTATCTAACCGCCAGCCCATCAGCCTGAGCTGGCAGTCTGAGAATTAGTGCTGTTTGTTGTTATTCATCTTGCGGTAACACTTCGAGACCCCGGTCAGGTATTGGAATCTCATTGGCCTGGGCAAAGACTCCCAAAGAGTTTACAATCTAAGTGTAAGATGAGAAAACCCAGGCTGGGTCATTCAACATCCCCAGAACCTCCAATTCAGCTGTAGATCAAGTGCAGTTGAGATGTGCACTGATTTTACTGCCCATCAACGGGATGTCTGGGCACCTTCCATGTAAAATCAAGAGCAAAATCCTTAGTGGACTTCATGGAGTCTCTGGCATGTCTCATTTTCAGGGTGAAAACTCTGCTAGGGGTAAAGGTGGTGGATTTTTTATGTTTGGCTGGTTTTTTGTAGGGTTTTAGGAGTAGAAAGGGCACCATCTCTAGGTAAAGTCTCTGCAGTTGGAATGTTGGCAGCCATCCTGCACCGAGCCCTCCATAGATGGACACCTGAAGTTGTTGTGGGTCTGTACAGAGCTCACTTCAGGATCTGGGCCCTTGTTAACAGGTCTGGTGATAGTGCACAAGCCCGCTCCCTTTTCCCATAGCAGCATTGCCTCTGCAGGGCTAATGGGAGTAAAAAACGTACATGTGTCGCTAACGTAAGCAGATAGAACGTGTAATACACAAAGTGTGTATTCCATATTCTGTTCTCCCTTCAGTTCCTCTAGATTTATACCAGTGAAATGAGAGCAGAATTTATCCCAGGGGGCACAGCTGTTAAATAACAAGGTGCTGTTTTCACAGTGTTTTCTACCCTGGGACAATTAAGTGCCCAGTAGGCACTTCAATAGGCCTTTTAGAAAATACCAGCCACTGACATTGCTGAAATGCAAAAGCACCTATTGTGGAAAAGCAAAGTGTCAGTACATGTGATGCCCCAGGCACCATTAACATAAACCATTAGCAACGGGCGTGTCTTTCTCATCTTTCTGAAGTCAACTGAACTAGGTCTTCTAAAAGTCGATGGGACTAGTCACAGGCTTCGGCACAGTGTAGGATCCGGGCTAATGCACTCAGAATCTTGCATGATTGGGTCGCTGGCCCGTAATTTGTAGATGGCCCAGCTTTAGCAAATGTTTTTACTGCTACTGTTTTTAAATATGAGTTACGGTCGCATTCATTTGTGCAAATGGAAGAAACCAATGTTCTTGGTCACGATTTTCTGCCTGTTGTTTTTGTTTCCCAATGGGGTACAGGTGTGGTATAATCCAGAGGGGTATCACAGCCTTCCAGCCTACCTCAACAGCCTCAACAACTTCATTCTTCGAGCGAACATGCCGAAAAACGAGTCTTCCAAATACGGTGGGTGCTAACCAATCCTTGACACAGCTCATGCTGCCCCATGTGAAGGGGGCCCAGTTCTCCACCTGCAGACAGAAGACAATAGTGGGTGGGCCAGATTCACTCCTGGTGTAAAATGGAGCTGTGCCCATTTAAACTAGAAGGAAATTTATCCTCTGGATGAAATCCTGACCCCACTAAAGTCAGTGGTGAAACGTCGATTGACTTCAATGGGGCCATGTCTGCTAATGTTGATTCAATTCACTCTCCTTTAAAGGGTGTCAGTATGTCACATGTCTGTTTCTAGAAACAGGGGAGGGGACAAGGTAAAACCTTAAAAATAGGCTTTCCTTCTCCCACAAGCAACAAGGGCTTCTGCCTAGTATTGACTTCCACGTCAGCATCGAGATAGCTGACTGTAAAGATGTGACATTTCTATGCAAAGAAAGGCTACTTTAGGTTGCTTCCAGTGGGGTGTTAGATTTAATGTTTTTCTCCCTCTGAGCTGTTCATTGTTGGACTTGTGGTAATTAAAGCATTTTATTTTACAGGTGTATACGTTGTGGGGAGGGATACAAACATATTCTCACACACCCCTGAAGTCATTTGGTACACACCGAATGCAGGGTGGTGAAGTGGAGCGTAAAGGTTTATCAGCATTCATTTGGAATGACCTGCTTAGCTTTGCCTCACTGATACCATGCAGTGTCCCAAATTCATGCTGATAAACCTTCATACTCTACTGCACTGTTTGTTCCATCCGCATTACATGTGTAATTCAGGCATACTGGTTTGTGCGGGTGTGTGTTTGCCTGTGGCCAGGTCTACACTACAGACTTCTACTAGCATCCTCTGTATAGCTCTCATAGTCAACAAAGAGGGGTTTTTACCAGTGTACAGCTTGTTCCACTCGTGGGGCGGGGCATTACTACTTTGGTCAAAGTGCCGATTTGTCAAGATAGCTATATCCACAGTAGGAGCACTTTGCCAGTACAGCATAACCGTATTGCTATTCCAGTAAAACATGCCTTGTGTCGATACCGCCGGTTATCTATAGAGTGAGAGAGAAGAAAGTCTTATATTCGATTATGGGGCCTGACAAGAGTTCAGAACTCACCTATCAAGTGACTTGCTTCAGCAAACACCAGCCATTCTGCCACATTCTAGTCTCTCCTGGCCTCTCTCATGTCAGATGGCTTGTGTTCCTGCTAAAGGATCATACTCAGGGGAAACGGGCTGGAAAGTCATTTGGCTTGTCAACATAAAGCTCTTTATTGACGGATGAATTAAAAGGTAAATCCAACAGAGAAGGAAGGCCTATTTGAAGCTCTAGGCCTCCTTGACAATAATTAAAAACACGATTACTATTATAACGATGTATTATGTGTATTAGCACAGCGCATAGGAGCCAGAGACTAGGGCTCCATTGTGCTAGGTGCTGTACAAACGCAGCACAAAAAGATGGCCTCGTCCCCCAGGGGCTTACAATCTAATATAATCCTAAGCAGAAAGGCAAAACATCTGCACAGATTTCTTTCCCCATCACCACATAATAATCACCAGCCAGTGTTCATGTGGCAAACTCCCTCAGCACTCATCTTCTCGCGAAGCAAAACCAACTCCCCGGGCCCACAGCCACCTCCACCATACCTGAAACACCCGCCTCTCGGGTCAGCAGGGCCCAGCTATTTCACACTCAGTGTGGGAGCAAATCCCCAAGTGGGAAGGGGCCAGCTGGCAGCCCTCTTTTTAAAATACAGATGGGCTCCAGCTCCTCTCTGCTGCCGCAGTATGGCACAGAGCCACAGGCCATCTCCCCAGCAGGAATGTCCCTGACCAATTTAGTTGTCAAGGGGTGAATCCTGGCCGTGGAGAGGAGTGTGGTGGTGTGCTGGGGAAGATTCCCCTACCCAATCATCAGTGAGCTACTCAAGCTGAGCTGAGTATTCCACCAGCAGCGCCTTCTCATCAAGCCTTATCCAAAATAGAGTGGCCCGTGCCATGAGTGGGAATGGGCAGACACAGTCAGAGGGTCCCCCACAAACGTACCTTTCAACATGCCAAGGCCCCAGCATGGGACATGGGGTGAGACCCCAAATGAGGGATGCAAAACTTATTTGAGAAGGAAACCCAAAGTGCTGCAGGATCTTTCCCTTTAACATGAACAAATATCTGCCACCCCAGCGTCACCATGCTTTATTTCTGGTTTAAATAATTTTCAACACGAAAAGGAAGGGCATGCCGCATATATGTGGAAAACAGGTACCTTGGGGACTAAAATGAGTGACGTCCTTCAAAATGAAGGACAGTTGAAGCATATTTCCCAAACCGCTCTTCTGCTCGGAGAGCCATTTTTTCCTAATCTGTCCCCAAGCTTTCTGGAGATGGCCTTTTATGTTTGTTAGAGCAGGTCAAACCTCGGAATGCCCATTCCAGGGGAAATTCTAACATTTTAACATTTCATTCTGGATTATAATGAAACCAAAAAAAAAAAAAAATTCCTGTGAGATGAACTTTTCCAACACAATTTTTGAAAAAAAAAAAAAATTAAATCAGGTCAATTGAAATACTTTGTTCTGATTTTGACTTTTTTATTTTAAATTATGTTAAAATTTATCATATGAAATAAACTTTCAAACAAAAAGTCGCTTTGAAACGAAAAAAATCGAAACCTTCCCTTCTGGTAAGTTTGACCTTTGTTTCAGACTTTTTCCCCCCTGAAACAAAATTTCAACGAGGTTGACACATTCCCATGGAAAGTTTCAAGTTTGACAAAATGGCATTTTCTGATGGAAATATGTTCTGCTGGAATATTTTTGAACAGCTCTAAAGTTTGCACTGCATCTAGCAAGTTCTGGGTGTCCTTGGAAACAAATGAATGATAACAAATGACCAGATTGATAATTCCCAGGTCCCCCTAAGGAACCTGTATTCAGTACAGGGAAAATAAATGAATTGATGAGTAAAGCTTAACAGGACTTGTATAAACTGGTCTGAAATACAACTGAAGAGACCCTTCTCTGCAGTAGTTTGCTGGCAGCAGAAGCCATTTGTTGCTGTGACAAATAAATGACAGTTTAAGAACCATTGAAGTGGCCAGATAAAAGCATAGTCATTTCAGCAATTTGAAAGAGGTGCCAATCCTGCTTTTGAGGTTTGACTTAAACTTCATATATTTAAAAAAAGAAACACATAAAAGGAGCTTTTTGCCCTGTCACCAAGCAAATCATAATAGCTTTCGACTTAGGTATACTGGGCTTCCTTTTCTCCACACCTCCCGCCCCCGCCCAAAAAGAAGTATTGAAATGGAAATTTTGACTTCAAGCTAAGCCGCAGTGAAGGAAAAATGGCTTTATTCTGCTGCATTAACAGATTAGTCAGACTGGATCACCTTTTTTTTTTTTACAGAAGGAAAACGTTTTCTAGTTGTTTGTACATCGTTGTTAGCAACTGGAGACTTATATTGAATCCCTCAAGAAAAATATTGCTCTCGAATGACACCGCTTTTGTTTTCCTTAAAATGAACTGCAGACCAAATCGCACCATTCCACGTGCTTCAATGATACAGACTGAATAGAGCACATAAAACGGAGGCCACCATCTTTATACAGCATTAGAAATTTAGGCACCGAATTGGAAGGCGGCTGATTTTCAGGGGCATGGAGTACTCTCAGCTCCTTTTGAATTTAACGGCACACTCTGGGAATCAGGCCACTTCAGTGCCTAAATATGGATTTAGTTGCATAATTTTAGGCATTTAAAGTTTGAAAATATTACCTTAGCCTCTTCCAGGTCCAAAAAGTCATGGAAGCTGGTCCCCTCTTCCATAGAACTTCACTGGAAATTGGAACTGATCCACTGGGGTTCAGTGGAGTCCCTCTTTTTATTGTATTATGCTGCAGAAGTCTATAGAAAAGAAGCCGTAACGAGGCCAATCAAAATCCATCCTCACAAAATAGTATTTGCCAGGGGCTGATGCCACAGATGGCTCATCAACGGCACAGCTCCCATCCTAGAGCAGGGAGGCTGTAGAATGTATAAAGCGACATTCTGCAGCTATGTTAAGTCCTCTTCGCCTTGGGAACCGAGAGCAGCTTCCTCCACTGCACAGCCTAAGAAGCTCATTATTTCCATGGAAAGAATGGCCTGTGAGGGCCAGCAATTCCCCGCCTGCATGGCCATTGACACCCGTACAACATGAGTGTTAAATGCTGCCAAATAGGATGGAAATGTTTTGCACCAGCTTTGCTCTTACTGTGCACAGATGTAAACGACAACTCGGGGTGCAAAGCAGTGGAGAATCAGGCCTGGAGTCTTATTAATACTGGACCACGCCTCTGAAGACATTGCTGTGGCAATCACAAATGTTTCATCAAGCTGATTCTTTTGTGGATTTTGTACAAATATGTTCACTCAAAATCAGTAATCATGAAAACAAGTAATTGTACATGTTATGGAGAAAGAGAAAGGAGAACTCTTGATAATTTTTCTCCTTCATACGAATTAAAAAAAAAGTGACTACCTCTGGCATGAATCTGAGCATGATTTGGCCAAAGAAATAACCTTTGCACGAACTCTACAGCTCTTATAAAAACATGTCAATTAACTTTTCATTCCCAGCATCAGTTTCTAATCTATTCACGGGGCTCCCCCTAGTGGCTAATTTAGCAAGTGACAAATGTTTTTCTCCTAGAGGAACTCGACATTCTTCTCTCAAAACAGGCTATTAACACGTAGGCTTTTCCATATGGAGAATATAGATCTGCAATAATACAGGGCCTATTCTGATTGATCCCAAAGCACCTTTACAGCACTCTGCTAGTGTAAAAGGAGTCTTAGTATAAGTGAGAATAATGGCCATAGACTTTGGTAAGGTTGTGGGTTCTAATCCATTTATGATTGTCCTTGCACTGCTGGAATATTTTTTTATCTCAGTGCAGTAGATAAATAGATTCTCATTGCTTCTAAACAGAGCAAAAGCCCTTCATATGTGATATAACCCATACTGCGGGCTAGATGCTGGCTTTGGAAGGGAAGTGTTTAAACCAAACATTTTGGCAGATCTCTGCATGCCATATAATGGTAAGAGAATTCCTGCCACCCACTGCCATTTGATTGTCACAGACCTGATTTTGTGAATCTGATTGGGAAAGACTTGAGTTTCTCACAGGGCTAAAACGAATAGTCAGACCAATTTCTGGAGGCTGGCTGTTTCTTTTGGTCCAGGTGCTTCTTTCTCGCTTCACATGACAGAACTGTTCAGTTTAAACTTTCTCATCAGAAAATATACTGATTGCCTTCCTAACTGCAAACAGTGTTATCTGAAGCTTATTCCAATGTCTGCTGAAAGGCTGGAGACCCAGTGGAGAATGTGAAAGATGATTCCACACTGGGTTATCCAAGATAATACTTATCAGATATGGGGCAGCTCATCAAAAATGGGCAAAAGTATGTCCTAGAATCACAAGAGCTGCCTATCACTCCAGTACATACTTAGTGATAGTGGTACTAATAGGGAGAGGGCTGTTCAAGTGATCTAGTGAGCACCTGACTTGTAACAGGTGAGTTAAAATCCTGACTCTGTATCAACTCCTGTGGTGGCTTTGGCGTGTCACTCGACCTCTCTGCCCTTATCTTCCCCTGCTTTGAAATGGGGATAATGCTGACTTACAGTGTACAGTACCGCACTAGAGGGTACTGAGGCTTAGTTAATGGTGTCAAGGGTTTTGCAGATAAAAAGGACCCTAGGCTTGATTGAGTGCTCTTGGAAATCACTGGGTCAGGCAATTCTCAGCTGAGGACTTGGAGTCTGAATGGGGCCACTGGAAACGGACATATTAAATAAGTCTTTGTACCAACATAGGATGGTGTTCTTTCCAGGGACAAAGGGTGGGTGAGTGCTATCCACCTTCTACAGATGTGGAAACCGAGGCACACAGACATTAGGGCCAGGATTTTAAAATGTGGCCTCTGCGTGCTTCAGCGTTGGGCCACCCAACTTAAAGCACATGGGCCCTAATTCAGCAAGCTATTTAAGTACATGCCTAACTTTAAGTAGGTGAGTAGTCCTATTGAAGTCAAAGGGACGAGTTACACAGCTAAAGGCGTATGCTTGGGTTCCTTGCTGAATTCAGACTGCAGGACTTGATTTTTCAGGGCTGCTGAGCATCCACAGCTCCCACTGACTGCAGTTGTAGGCACCGAACACTCCTGCAAATTAGGCCTTGCAAGAGCCGCTCAAAATAGTTGATGGCAATTGTGAAAATTCTGCCCAAGATGACGCCATGAATCAGTGGCGGAGAGCAGAACCCCGCTCCGCCTGCCCCAGATTCCCTTCCATAACCGGTAGCCGGCATTACTTCCAGCCTCCACGCCTAACAAGGAACTTCACCATACATGTTACAAAACTACTTCTCTTCTTTTTGTAGGTATTTCCATTGTGAGTCATCCCTATCCCGGTGGACAGAGTAAAGAACAAGTCATGTAAGCGGTTTAATTTGGCTGATACCTGCTGCTCTGATTCATTTAGTGGCAATAGGAGCAAAACAGCTGCCCGGAAATCATGAAACACCTAAATTGGTCAATAACTTTTTCTGAACGATCTAATTGCTCTTTTCACAAAAGCAAACTGTCTCTCCCGTGTCTACAGCGCTACTGATTTCCCTTTGAGTTTCTTCCCAGAAGGCCTGATAAATGTGGGGCATTATAGAAACAGCATCAGTTTTGGAGCACGGCCACAGCAATGACAATAACGTATTTTTCTTTCTGCCTTTCCAAACAATCTGCTGTCACAGTCCCCCACCCTGCAAAGCCTTTCTGCCAGCCTTAGTGGGTACCACTCTGAATGGTCTCTACAACCAGTAGGGAATGTTGGCAGGATCAGGCCCTTGATTTTTTTAAGCTATGAATATTGTCTTCTAAATCAGGGAGATCAAACATTGACTCTGTCTTTCTTCCCCTTTTCTCCTCAGGCTCAGTAGCTTGCTTGATATCCTAGTCTCAATGTCTGTCCTGATTGGCTACTCCATCACAACAGCCAGCTTTGTGCTTTATGTGGTGAAAGAACATCAAACCAAAGCTAAGCAACTGCAGCATATTTCAGGCATCAGCGTGACAAGCTATTGGGTGACTAACTTCATCTACGACCTGGTAAATTACTTAACTTTTATGCACAGAGAACAGGATTCTAGAGTGAAAAATCCCCACTTCTGTTTGTTCCTAGACTTATTAATATCATCACTACCAAAAGAGCTAGGTCTTGTTCTCAAAAGCATTACCGATTATTAATTGTGAACCATAACTCTGGGGTATGTATAAACCTCAGCAGAGTTATAAGAGATCAACATGGCAAAGACCAAAACTTGGGTTAGTTTTTAACATGTAGATGCCAAATTGCCTTTGAAGTTAGATTGCAGAGGTGGAATTCTTGTTGTCATCCAGGATTTATACATCTGGGTAAGGCTCATGGACCTGATCCTGCAGCTCCTACTCCCATGAGGAAGGGCTGCAGGATATGACCCATCTTCAGAACTCTACTGCAGATGGCAGACACTCTTGGAACCTTCAGAATACAAGATCCTACATTTGTAAACATCTCTTGGTGGAGATTTGCAAGATTGGAAAAAGCCAACTGGTGGGTTAAGTAATATAATAGATAAAGGTTTCCAAACTCCTGACATCAAAGAAAAGTTACCTTCTGTTACTGTTAGTCAGGTCAGGGGTGATGTGCTGTATATATCTGGACTTATCTGCCTCAAAAGGATCCCACGCTTTTTTACGTCTTTTGAAAATGTCCCTTTCAGGATTCCATAGTCCCCTTTGTCTTATGGTTTGTGAGCCATTATGGTGCTCAAAGGTCACATTTTCAAGGTTTTCTCCTCAACCACAAGGAGCTAGGAACTTACTTAAAAAAAAAAAAAAAAAAAGGTGAGATTCTCACCTGACTCCAGAAGCTGAGGTTTTAAGAAAACCAGCAAGCATTGCAAGGCTCACAACAAAATCATGACGACTGACAGTGCTGAAGATAACCTCAGGGGGGTGGCAATGAAACAGAACCTTTTCACCCAATAGATGATTCCCCAGCTCATCTGAGTTGATGTTTATCTGACAGCATGAATTTGCTTTCTCTTTTGTATTGTTCAGGATTTCCCCCCACAAGTTTGTTTGGCTCGCCATGTAACTGATTCTTATTTTGGTCATCAGGATGTCAGAATTCTGGCACCCATTGTAAACGTTATCCTTTTCGTGCAGCTTCCGCTTCCCACCCCCCATCTCCCTCCCACACCACACACACTAACTTGGACGTGTCCCTCAGTCAGGCTCACACAGCTTGTGGCAGAAACTGCTGCGGGCCATGTCTACAGGGAGAGGGTTTTTTTGGGTTTTGTTTAGCTACTGGCATGGCTACCCTGGTAGTTAGGGTGCTAGCCAGAGACTTTGGAAACCTGGCTTCAGTTCCCTCCTCTGCCACAGAGTGTGTGGCCTGGCGCAAGTTGTTTAGCTGCTCTGGGTATGTCTACACGGCAGCTGGGCAGATAGCATGGAGCCAGCGTGCTAAAAATAGTAGTGTGGATGCTGCTGCTTAGGCTAACCATCCAGGCTCCAGGCTGGGAGGGCTTGAGCTTGGGTGGCCAGCCTGAGTGTCTCCTGGAGCGGCAATGTGCCTGCTCTCAGCCATTTTTAACACATTATCTTGAGCCCTGTCTACCTCACCTGGGAGGTTCCCACCCAGCTGCTGTGTAGTCATTCACTCTGTGCCTCAGTTTCCCCTCTGCACAATGGTAATAATAGCACTGCCTTGCCTCACAGGGGTATGGGAAGGGTACATTAATGACTGTGGGGCACTCAGGTACCATGGTGGGGGTGGGAGGGGGCGGCATATGAAGCACCCATGACCTGGCTCTTAGCATAGACACTCTTTGCAGCAGTGCAGCTTGAATTGTGCAGGTGCAGCTTACCTTGGCTTGCGAGCTGCATCAATGCAAACTGTGCTCTGCTGATGTCAATGTACCTATATTAGCAGTTTGCAATGCGGCTACACTGCTGGCTAAATCCCAGGAGAGGCAAGGCTTTAAGATTTGATTAACTCCACATGACCCTCTGGGGGCAGGAGCCGTCTTTTGGTTCTTTGTTTGTACAGCACCTAGCACAAGGGGGTCCTGGCCCATGACTAGGGCTGCTGGGCACCACTGGAATAGGAATAATAACAACAGAGCCAAATGTTCAGAACTACCCGCCTAAGCCTGCTCATGGAGTTGGCCAATGGAACAAGCAGCTCCTGGTTGTGAGTGCAAACGAGGGATTTGAACACACCATAAATGCGGCCAGGTTTGAAGAATTGGCGCTGAGTCACTGGTCATACACCTGTGACTGTGACTCTGGCCTACCTCTGCTTTCATGCTCCGGGCTCTCAAGTTGGTGCCCCAGATTTTTAAATGGCCGATCGAAATAGCCCCAGCGTTCTAACTGCAATCACTATTCAGCAGGCTGAAACTAATCCAGAGCTCTCAGCAACCGGATATTTCTCAGTGAACACCTACTAGCAAATTCTCTGAAATCCCAAAGTCGGGGATACCAGGAACCGCTTGAGGCATCTACTGTGTAGATCCCTGGCTTGACAGAGTATTGTAAACAGCATAATGTGACTCTATAACAGGAAAGGCACGGGACATTTCTCATTCACATCTAGGCCTTTCATGCCCACACTTCCTAGGGTTCAAAACTGGGATGCTCCGGAGGGCCAAACAGAATTTAAAGTCTCCTCTCCCATTGATGGACAGCTTACTGCACCTCTAGAGCAAAATTGACACCTGGTGTCATTCCCTCCCCTGTACAAGCTGCATGTAGCTCTATTAGAGTATTAATTATTCTGACTACGATACACTCTTTAATATCATTTCACAGGTTCTTTTTATGGTTCCGGTTGCCCTCTCAATAGGAGTTATTTCAGCTTTCCAAATACCTGCTTTCTTCAATGATAATAACCTCGTGGCTGTATTTCTTTTGATGATGATGTTCGGGTAAGTGTGTGGCTCAGTTATTTGAATATGACTCCATGGTGGGGTGGAGGGGGATTTGCTTAGGGTTTGGAGTCCTGACCAAAGCTGTGCAACTCTCCCATCACCGCTACTGGGAATCCTCTCTCTTGGCAGAATAGGAGAGGCTGAACTGACCCCGTAATATAGATAGCACTTGATAAACATTAACTAGTTAGCCTTCAGAAGGCTTGGGAGAGATGTGGCAAGAACTGTTATCCCCATTTTAGACAGGGGTGGACCAAAGGTGGCAGCTTAAACTGTAGAGATTATAGAGACTCAAGACACCATGGTTGGGGTGGATGATGCATGGTTGTCCTTATTTCCTGTTTACACAGACTTTACCTGAATAGCAGCTCTAAATGTTCGTAACTAACACCAAAAACCGATATGCTCAAGGTCACAGAAACAGCCTGGATTGTAACTACAGCTGATTGAAACTATTCAAATGTCAAAATATCAGTGACATTCCCAAATTTAAAAAAAATCAGGAAAATTTAATAATTCTTGCCTGCCTGAGAGCAGCGTTGTGAGGTTAAAAGGTGGTGAAGAGATCTGCTGATGAAAGGCGCTATATGAGAAATAGGCATCATTACGACTATACCCGCCTGTGTATAGCGAGTGAGGCAGAAGTGCTTGAGCTGAATTATTTTGTTGCCCGTTTTCACCACTCTTTAAATTACTTTCATATTCTCTCTGCTGCCGGTGATCTACAGATATGCAACGTTTTCATGGATGTACTTGCTGGCTGGGATCTTCAAGGAAACAGGAATGGCCTTCATAGTTTATGTCAGCATCAACTTGTCCTTTAGCATTAATACCATCATTACTCATTCGGTTGTGTTTCTACTTTCCCAAGAAAAGGCTACTGATCAGGTAAGAGCTCACTAACACTTTGGGCTTGTCTACATGATGAATCAGTCTTCACTAAAGGAGTGTAAATTCTAGTGCACACTAGTGTGTTGCGCATTAACTGGCCTGGGTGGACCCTGCTGCTGGCATGCACTGAAAATTTCCTAGTGTATGCTAATGTATCCCGTTTTAAACAGTACTACTAATGCACCATGTTGAGAAGCCCCATGTTAACTCTTAGAAAACTGATTGGTTTCCAAGTCTAACTAACACACGTTGCGGCCTGAGTCAAAGGCTACTGAAGTCAGTTGGAGTCTTTCCGTTGATCTCAATGGGTTTTGGATCATACCCGTGGACTTCCATTGTTTTTCAAGGTTTTGAGGCAGGTCAAGTAGGGGACATTACTCTAGAGATCTGGTGAGGTTCTCTAAGGTCCAAACATGGGGCAAATGAGACTCTTTCTTCTCCATTTAATTTACCCAAGCCCCTCCCCCCTCTGATTAAGAACTAAGGGTGGAGAGAGAGGCAGATGGGAGTGGACATCTGGGAGGGGGAAATCAGATGCATGTGGGAGAGATCAGGGAATGAATGCGGGTCCACTTTTTTGAGAAAGATGGTTGTTTTGGGAGTTAAGTTTCCCTAGTGCAAATTACTGAGGCTGAGTACTAAATCTCAGTGCCCCAAGGGCTACATCAGCAGACGAACTTTCTGTAGTCTAACTGTGAAACAAGTGGTCTCTACAATGAATTCCTGTCCATACAAAGGGAAAAGTGCCTCGAAGGCACTGACATTTCCCTAAAGTGGAGCACTGCTCTTTAATAGATCTACTTCTCGTGTGTCTTAGAGAATCCGTACTGGCTAAAATGTAAGCTTTGGGTTTTTTTTGTTTATTACAAGGACAATTCCTTAATTAAAAAAAAATCAGCCCTTGTCCCATTGTCAGGCAGTACCTGTTTACCAAACCCTTGGATCGTGTCAGTTGTAGTTGTCTAGCCACATCAGGATGGAGACAATCTCCTTCCATGCTAATTTATTGCGTATCCAATGTGCCATGTGTAATGTCAGTTGTGTTCAGCAATCTTCACTGCTAGTGTTAGCGAATAACGATATTATACAGGAGCTCTTCACTGCTAGGCTCGGTGCTTGGCTGTTTGTCATGCATTAGCAACTCCCTGGGCCAAACGTGTCTCCTTGTCAGTGGGCATGGAGCTGCTTGACCAAGAAGAACTGATGCGCTTGTGCTACAGAAAGCGAGAAGAAGGATTTGGGTACTACCTGTGTCCCTTTGAGCTTCATGGAGATGCCCTGCAATTCAGCATGCAGCGGGATGGATCCACAGCTCTGAGGCTCCATGGATGGGGAGCACATTGGCCGCAAGGGTTAGCGCAGCTAGATAGCTACCCCAACTTCATGAAGAACACCAGTCTGCAACCTGCTTACTCAGCTTTACCTCACTGTGCATTCCCTGCATCAGGAGAATTCCCAGCTGCAGCCTCAGAGCACCGTTCTGGTGGTTGCCTGCTACCTGAGCAGTGCAAACAAGCTGGAATAAGAACCAAGGATCTGTACCAGGAAGTATGATCACTGGGTGCTGGCTAGAAGGGTGCCATTTCTAAAGCACCTAAGGGAGTTAGGCACCAACTCCCAGTGACTTTCCCACCCTGAATTCCTTGCAATTGTGAAACAAACCGTTTCGGAGCTCTTTGCTGTTGATTTATCTGTGGTTTGAGATAGGCTAATAAGCCCAAACAGGCGTCAGTCCCAATGCCGTCCCAAGAATAAAGTCACAATGATCATTGGTGTTTCTCTTCTTTCAGGGCTTGCATGATCTCTCTGAAATATTGAGGCACGTTTTCCTGATCTCTCCTCAATTCTGCTTTGGATATAGCTTGATTGAATTGTCTCAGCACCAGGCGCTGATGGGCTTCTTAAAAGCCTATGGCGTGGATTACCCTGACAGAACCTTTGAGATGGACAGAATAAGCTCCAAGCTGCTTGGCATGTTTATCCAGGGCACTATATTCTTTGCAATTCGGCTCTTAATGCATGACGGGATGATTCAGAAAGTCTGGTCTAGTATATTAGAGTAAGTAACATCAGTATTCCTACAATGGATATAGATTAAAACAGAGCTCAGTGCTTTTGTCTTTGACATTGTCATCGTTATCAATTATAATTATTTTGCATAGCTCCATAAACTTACACAACGCTTTGCAAACTCAGCGTAAGCTCTCTCTGCTGGCAGTTCCCATATCTACCTGTGGTTATAGTGATGACTAATGGAAATGTGTGCACCTTAATTTTTTGTTGCACCTCCCTCTCTATGGGCATTGGGAGTAATTGCTTATCCTGCACTAATTCTGCATGTGCTGGACAATTTCAGTACCCGGGAAGGGAGAGGTATTCGTTGTTGTAATCCCTGCGTAGGCCAGTGAGTTCAATTTCAAAGAACAGGCCTGGCTGACTGTATCCATTCTGTGTTGGAAAGGCAACTCAAAGGGCTGCCATTTCAGGTCTCCAGTGCCACGGGATGCTGATGGGTTGATCGGAAGAGTGGCTCTGGGGCCAGCAGATCCAGAGCCCCTTCAATTCATACAGTGGCACCTTGAGCCCAAGCTGATTTGGATTCAGTTCATGCATGATCTGCCCCCCAAATTCAAACGGTAAAAACTGTCACCAAAACTGAAAGCTGCCATGATGTAGGACCGACACCAAAAGCAATGCATTTGTTGAATACAAGGAAAAGCTTCATAAAGAAAGAACATTTGTTTCTAAGCTTCGTACATGGAATAATAATAGCAGAGAGTTTTAAATTAATATAATGAGAGCATATAATAGGATCTCATTTCAATTTTACTGAAAAGACACTAAGTCCTCTGCACACGCAGATCTGGAATGTAAAGTCACCTGTCTCCTTCGCCTTCAGATTCCTGTTCGACAAAGTGCATGGCAGGCCACCGCTTCTGCTGGAGGCAGCTGATGAAGACAAAGACGTTCAGGCTGAGAGGGAGCGGGTTGAGTCTGGCCGAGCAGACGTCGACGTGGTACAACTCCAGAGCCTCTCCAAGATCTACCATCTTCCTCTCAGAAGGATCATGGCAGTCAAAAATGTCAGCATTGGAATCCCAGCAGGAGAGGTAAGCAAGCAGGCTATGGCAGTAGCAGCCTCTCCTCTAGAAAATGTCCTCCAAGCCACTTCCTCATTGTCTTCCCAATCCCTGCTTAAGACTCAGGGAGACCATCTGACAGCAACTTATTGGACAATAACTTGCTTTACTGGTACCTCATCCTTCCTTTCTTCCCTCTGGTATTCGTCACCTCCATCTATTGAGTATCATTGATTATTTGTATTATAGTAGAGCCCAGAGAACCCAACTGAAATCAGAACCCCCTGGAGCTAGGGATAGCATGGACATAAAGCGAGAGATGGTCCTTGCCTCAGAAAGTTTAAATAGACAAGACAAAGGAAAGGTGGGAGGGAAACTATGATAATCTAGAGAATGCACTCCAGCAGGGACTATCTTTTTACTGTGTGTTTATACAGCGTCTAGCACAGTGGGGTCTTGATCATTGGTTGTTTGTCTGTCATGGATTTACAGTTACCATTAGAAATGTAGTCATGACTCTTTATTCAGACTGCATTGGGCTTGGAAAGTGGGATGGGCAGTTAGAGAGGCAGTGTGGTCCAATGGATGGGACTAGGAGACCTGGGTTCCGTTCCTGTCTCTGCCACTAGCCTGCTGGGTGATCTTGGGCAAGGCCAGATTTTCAGAATTGCTGAGATCCCAGTTTGACACCAACAGCCAGATTTTCAGAAGAGCTTAGCATGCTGGGAAAATGGGAGCTGACACTCTTTGAAAATCTAGCCTCTGATCTCAGTGGGGGAGATTTTCAAAGGCATAAATGGCAGATACACCCTAAATCCCATGAAAGCCAGTGGGAATTAGACTCCTAACTGCCATTTGTGTATTTGACTCTCTCTCCCTCTAGACCTTTGCTTCCTCTCCCATCTGTCTATGTCTGCAGGACCAGGGCCTAAGAATGGTACTGAGTGTCTGTACAGTGACTAGAAAAGGAGTACTTGTGGTCTGTCTACACTGCTGTAGGAGGTATGATCTGAAGCACATGTGGACATATTGAGTTAGCTTTAATCTGGCCAATGCAAGTACCAATAACAGTGAAGCTGCAGCAGCATGGGATTGCAAGAGTAAAATGATCAGGATTTGATCCTTCACATGGCCTACATATGAAAATGCACTTTGCAATAAAAGGAAGGCTAGTGTTATAGACACATTCATTATTTCCTACTATATTAAACAGAGGAGCCTAATACACACTGCAATACACTGCCCAATAAACAACCACCATTATAATATTTATATGCACTTTGACTGCCTGAGGCTTTTCCATAATTCGTCTTGCTCAAGGGCCAGGGGAGGAGAAGTGTCAAGTCGCGTTGAGCACTCGCTGCATAGCAATACGTTAGCATTAAATGCAGCATGCTAAATGTCTCTCTTTCTGTCTCATAAACCAGTGCTTCGGGCTGCTTGGCGTGAACGGTGCCGGAAAGACAACTATCTTTAAAATGCTAACAGGAGACATCGGGGCTACCAGTGGAAGATTGAGAGTCCGGGATCAAACTGGGTATGGAGGATTAGCTATCCAGAAGTGATGTATCAACAAGGCTGTCTGGAAAACAATTTGTCATTTGCCCTGGCTCGGATGAATCAACAAAGCAAATTAAAAAGAGTTAGACTTAATAAAAAGCAGAAAATTCAGCCATTTAAAATATTATATTTATTTCCTCGGGTCTTGAGTCTCATTTCACTGACAAATTTTTATGCTGGTGCAACTCTGTTGGTGTCAATGGAGTTTCTCCAGATTTACACCACTGTGAGATCAGAATCTGGCCCTCAGTCATTAAGAGCCTGATTCTGTCACCCTTTCTCTTGTTGAATAATATCACGCTCCACAACTGGTCCCACTGAAATCAGTGGGTCTGATGATGGAGTAAAGTGCTACTAAACATGAGTAAGGTTGCGAGTCTGTCATAGAGGTCATGGGAGTCACGGATTCTGTGACTTTCCGTGACCCCCATAACTTCCGCAGCTGCAGGGCTGCCCAGGGGCCAGTCACACTGGCCGCTGCTGGAGTGGCCCCAGGACCAGCTGCTCAGGCAGTCCCCGGTGCCAGCAGTTGGCCCCGGGGATCACCCAAGCAACAGTCCTGGGGGTGGCCAGAGCAATGGCCCCAGGGAGGGCCAAAGCATTGGTCCCGGGGGCGGCCGTGGGGACCGCTGGAGCAGCAGCGGTCCCGGGGGCGGCCAGAGCAGCGGCCCTGGAGGCTTTCAGGAGAGCGGCCTCTGTGGGCCTTGGAGCAGCAGGCCACTGTGGGGCAGTCAGCCTCCACTGCTGGAACGGGGCCCCACAGCACAGAGATTTAGTCATCATGGGCATTTATAGTAAAAGTCACGGACAGGTGAATTTTTGTTTATTGCCCATGACCGGTCCGTGACCTTTACTAAAAATACCCATGTCTAAATCTTCGCTTTAAACATGAGTAAGGCCACTGGAAACTGGCCCATCAAAACCACTGGACATACAAGCAGTGTGAGGTACTACTCAGTGTGAGACACACAATCCTTCCTTTTAGGAGCTAAGAATGTCAGATCTGCACAGGCCTTGCTATCATGAACTAAAAGCATTCCTGCCCCAGTGGGGGATACGTTTCCTTCCTGTTTAATAGAGCATATAGGAGACTTATGAAGTGTTTATAAAATGACCTTTCACCTTTCCTGATCCAGATCCCTGAGTGACATTGATGACACCCACTGGTCGCTCTTCGGCTACTGCCCTCAAGAAGATGCCTTGGATGACTTGCTGACAGTGGAAGAGCACATGTACTACTATGCTCGGCTACACGGCACCCCAGAGAAACAGATTAAAGGAGTGAGTAGACCCATTTGACTGAAGAGTTCCCTTGGGACCCAGTCAAGTCAGTGTGAGTCTTTGCATTGACTTCAGTGGTCTTGATCAAGGCCATTATGTGTAATAATAAACAATGAGGATGACAATCATGAATTTCCAACCTGGGACTTCATTGCTTTGTGGCTAGATGGTTGTGGGATGGTCACAGAACTTGACTGTTTTGTAACACGGGGTCACATGAATTGACTTAGAACTGGGCCATGCTGTTAAAACTCTCCCTACATAGACATCTGTGCAAATACTCCCATTGAGTTCAGTAGTAAGTGTTTACTAGATCAAGTCCTAAATGAACAAGTGAAGCTGGAATTTGTAAAAGGGATTAGTAAAAGTTGTGTCCCTGATGTTTTGATCCCAAGGGGTCTTTGTGAAATCGTTGAACTCCTATGTATTTTAACGTGTATTTCAAAGCAAGTCTCCACACTTCAAAGACTTCTGTGGAGTGAAACCCAACCTGGCAGCAATATGCTATTTCAAAGGACATTTAATTATAGTATCTGAACCACCAGAGACTGAGGGCTAGATCCCTCCTGATGTAAATCGGTGTAGCTCTCTTGAAGTCATTGGAGCTACATTGATTTGCACCTGTTGAGGATTAGGTCCTGAATTGTTGGCAAATACATACTTGTTCCAGATATTCTATGGTTGGTCTAATTCTCAATGTAAACCAAGTTTTTATTATTATTATTATTTGTACCCACAGATTGTACATCAGCTTCTTCATAGACTTAATCTGATGCCGTACAAAGACAGAGTCACCTCGATGTGCAGCTATGGCACTAATAGAAAGTTATCAACTGCTCTGGCCCTCATTGGTAATCCATCAATTCTATTGCTGGTAAGAAATCAGAAATTTTGCGATGAAAAAATGCGTAGCTTTTAAGGCCAGAAGGAACCATTCTATCATCTATTCTGACCTCCCATCCGTAGCCTTGGATAATTTTAAAGTGCAAATTGCATCAGTCACTCATCACAGGTTCTTTTACTCAGCAGCTATGTAAGAAATGTTGCTGAGTTGGAGATTGGTGAAGCACACACACAAACTTTGGACTTTAGTTAGTAGAGACAAATATAACTGAAATGATAGAAAAATCAATATGCATAAGTACAGCAAAGTGGTTTACTGCATTGTGCTTACTTGCAACCTTATGGAGGCCATTAGATGTGAAGATGGAAAGAAAAATAAGTGGTGATGACGGTTTTGGCTGTCACTAACTGTGTCATTCTGATGATCCCAATTAAAGGTTGGATTTACACCTTATTTTATGTCTCAGACCTTCTTCCCCTGAATACCCACACATGTCCCATGAGCATGGTTAGATCATTTTCTGGCCTTCGGTCCATTTATGGGTTTCCAGGAAATCATAATTGCTGTTATGATCGTTGACATGGCTTTTTGCATCAATACTTTTCCTAGTGTTTCCAATATATTCAAGAAGTTAACCTCATGGTTACACATACTAAAAATCCCCTAGAAGTTCATTAGCATTCCTTTAATTTGTTCGTTGCTGTGCACTTGTGTATTGTAATGCACTCGTTACTAAATCTTATAACCCTAGGTCACTCATAACTAATAAAAGCAATTTTATTACATGCAATATTTTATACCTATATATCAAGCTTGGCTTATAACCTCTGTAGGGTCTGGTCAGGAGTCACAGGTCAACATGTATAACACAGGTCTTGGGATTTCACCCAGTTACCCTTGTACTGAGCCTAATAAGTTGTGTTTGACTTAAGCATTTCTTCCGGAAAGGCATCAAGTCTTCGTTTGAAGACATCAAGAGATGAAAAATCCACCGCTTCCCTTGGTAGCTTGTTCCAATGGTTAATCAGCCTCGCTGACAAATTTGAGCCTTATTTTTCATTTGAATTTATCTGGTGTTTACCTTCCAGCCATTGGTTCTTGTTATGCCTTTCTCAGCTAGATTAAAGAGCACTTTAGTTCCCACTATATTCTCCTCAGGAGGGTACTTACATATTTTAATCAAGCCACCTCTCAATCTTCTTTCTGTTAAGCTAAACAGATGGAGCATTTTAAGTCTCTCACTCTAAGGTATTCTTTGTTCCTGTCGTCACATTATTTAGTGGCTCTTCTCTGCACCCTCTGCAATTTTCCAATAGCCTTTTCAAAATGTGGACACTGTATGAAGTATTCCAAGCGTGGTCTAACCAATGCTGTATACGGAGATCATTATCCTCCTGACTGTACATGTCTGAAACGCCCCTACTTCAGACGAGCAGCGGTAGAGAGAAATCCAGAGGCTCTGCATGAGTGCTCCTTCACGGATACTATATGGTGTCTCCCTATTGCTCTTAAAAGGAAAGGAACCGAAAATGCCATCACATTATTCCATACTTATTGTCTATCTACAATGTCCATATCAGATTTAAGATGTGATCACGCCCTCCCTGGAATAGCAAGAAGGGGATGAAAAGAGCAGATAGTCTGTACCAGTGGCCCCAAATTGCCATGGGGTGAAAAACAGAACCAGAACAGTAGTGTTCCTTTAAGATACAATCTAGAAAGCATATATCTCTTGCCACATGGAGGATATTAGAATGTTTCACCTAAATGTAGCTTAACATTTTCTTCTTACATTATACTGGAGTTTTGCTCTGAAGTAGGATCATAACTACAAATGTTCTCTTTGTGCAAACTGCCATTTGCTGGTGTCAAAGAGATGCCTCAAGCAGTGGGTCTGGCTTTGATGTAAGAGTCACAGGGGTTTCTCTCTCGAGGGTCACCCACAAGTTTCAGACAGCCGGGAAAGGACGCACACAAAACATTCCATACATGCACGCCCAAAGTCGCAGTTCAGATTTCCCAGTCAGGCTTTTCAGCTTGCAGTTCTCCAGGGCATAGCCCTAGCACACCAGGTTTAGTTCACTCGGCATCCAGAAGTGGCCAATGTTTAAATTACCCCCATACCATCTAAGCAATTGCTTTTCTCTGGCCCTGCTCCGATTGGCCTCATTCTCTGCTTTCCTCAACAAGCCTCACCTGGCCTTTCAGGATTAAATCAGGGCAATTAGACCCAGTCTTTTCTGCCTAATTGTTGTTAAGGCAACCAGCCTTATTCCCACATGTCAGCACTCTTTGGGCTCGTAGGAAAGAAAAGGAAGTGTGAGAGGATCAGAAAAATGTTTCAGCATAAATAAACATAACAGAGAAGGGGGGGAAAACCAAGAGAAGATGATCTTTCATACGCCATTCATAGCACATTCACTCAGTCACACCACAGGCAACATAAGTCTTTTAAACTGGAGAAACCAACCCCACAAAGTACCAGACCACCTGCCACTGCTGTGTTGTAAATTCTGCAATACTTAGTGATCAGTTTTCCAAACATTGGGCCAGATGGGTACAGCTCTGATTTACACCCATTGAAGCGCCACCCCTAAATTTATATAATTCCTTCTAACTTCTCTTCTTACATATAAAATCTCAATAAAAAGGGAGAAGAGGAGGTTGTCTAAGCAGAAGCTGCTTTCTGAATAACAAGCTGTTTTCTTTCTGCTTAGTATAATACATTGTCACCAACAATAACAATTTTACAATAGGAAGCTGGCTGGTAATTTTGTTGATGATGAATGTGATGGGGCACGACATACTGTTACTCATCTGTAGCTTATTGTCTATGGAATCCTGAAGACAGAAAACTTGTTTTGTCCGTAAATGAAGCAGATATTACCCAAAAGACAGATAGGTGTGGAGACAAAGAGCCAGTCTGGTATTACCTCATGTTTGGATCACAGCTACAATTTACTAATAAGTTGTTATTTATAGAAGTGTGAAATAGAACATCTACATAGAGGGATGTTTATCAGAGTCAGTTTTGCGCTAGGAAGAGCAAGGCTGAGATTTTCAAATCAATTGATATTTTGAAATGAATGGGAAGTGCGTTTCCAAATCCTCTAGGCAGCCAGAGTGTTTCTAAATTAGTTTAATGTTCAGATAAGGTCCTTAGCTGTGGAGAGGGCTCTGCCACAAACCTGCTATGTGAACTTGGGCAAGTCACTTCCCCTCTGTATCTATTTAGTTTGTAAGCTCTTTGGAGAAGAGACTTCCTCTTAGTATGTGTTTGTACAGCGCCTAGCACCAGGGGGTCTCATCCTAGGCACTGCCATCATACATACAAATAATACAGACCAAAAGCTCCATATAAGAGCTAAGTGGTTGTATTGGTAGCTGTATTGTCTGTAATGACCATTCTAAACAAAGAGCAGATATGGAGAGGAAGAGAAATGACATTTTCTTTCCTATTGAAACTTACAATCTGTTTTTTGTTGTTGTTTTTTAAAGGATGAACCAAGCTCTGGAATGGATCCTAATGCTAAACGACACCTTTGGAAAATCATCACTGAGGAAGTCCAGAACCAATGTTCCGTGATACTCACTTCCCACAGGTAGAGTTTACTGGCTGCCTTTATGCTTTATTAAGCCCAAACTAAAATTGCACTTTGGAACACCCTAGACCAGTGGTTCCCAAACTTGTTCCGCCGCTTGTTCAGGGAAAGCCCCTGCCGGGCCCAGCCGGTTTGTTTACCTGCCACGTCCGCAGGTTCGGCCGATCGCGGCTCCCAGTGGCCTCAGTTCGCTGCTCCAGGCCAATGGGAGCTGCTGGAAGCGGCGGCCAGTATGTCCCTTGGCCCGCCAAATTTCAGTGCCCCCAATGTTCCCTCGGTACTTGGAACTTTGGGGGCACTGAAATTTAAATACATTTCCAGTTCCAAGTTTTCCAAGTCTGTATAATGGACTGAATCCTAATTCTGAATCACAGCAGCAGAAAAATGTATCTGGATCTGCATTATGCTGCTTGAGCCCATCTTTAGTAACATCCACCTGCAATAACATGTAATAAGAAAATCCAGGAAGATCATCCAGGAAATGCTGAACACTTCCTGGAAATGTGTGATTGCTTTGCACTGAATGGATCCTTGGCCCAGATCCTCAAAGATATTTAGGCATTTAACTCCCTTAATTATCTTTGAGGACCTGGGCCCTCCCTATTCTAGTGGAATAGGAGCCAGATAGATTTGAGGTGAGGTGATTAAGATGATGAGTTACAGGTTAATCTCCTGAGTAGCTCATGGGAAACCATTAATGTTCTGGCCATTAGAGTTTCTTTTATTCCCATTCAGTGACTGTATAGAGCATGGGTGGCCAAACTTACCGATCCTCTGAGCCACATATGACAATCTTCAGAAGTTTGAGAGTCCGGGCATGCCTGCAGGGGATTGGGGCTTCTGCCCCGCAGGAAGCACTTGCCGGGGCTTGGGGCTTCAGCTCCACTCCTGCTGAGGCCCCGAGCCATTGGAGGTGCACCCTGCCAGACTGAAGCCCTGAGACTCCCCTTCCCGACAGGGCAGAAGCCCCTACTCCACCACCCTGTTGTAAGGCAGAGGTCCTGAGCTCTCCCCCCCAGCCCCCACAGTGTGGTAGGTTGAGAATGGGGGAAGCAGGAGTGCTCAGCGAGCCGCACTTTAACTATAAAAGATGAGGCTCACGAGTCACAGTTTGGCCACTCCTGGAATAGAGTTTCTTTGTTTGCTTTTCAGCATGGAAGAATGTGAAGCTCTCTGTACCAGGCTGGCTATTATGGTGAATGGACGTTTCCAGTGCCTTGGCTCTTTGCAACATATTAAGACCAGGTCAGTAAAATGTATCTACTATCCTTTCACTGTATTGCATTTAGAGCCAGATGCCCAGCTAATGAACAACAGTGGAGCTCCACTGAAGGATGCTGATTTACGTCAGCTGAGGATCTAGCTGTGTGTATTCAGGGCATTAGCACGTAGCGAACAAACCCAGGACGTCACTGAAAGCCTTTCTGTCTTTTGTTTCTGAGAATCTGTGATAAATAATGGCAGGGGGCTGGCTGGCAAACAAGAGTTCTGTTTTGTGATAAATGTTGGGGTTTTGGCATTGGGTTTCATTCTGCAGCTGAACGAAGCCGAGGCTTTTCATCATGTCTGAGAGTGAGAGAGTCCCACCCCAGACTAGCCAACACTCAGCTGTAGTGAGGGGGACCAAGTTCAAGGGCCTATTCCACAACAGGCAGATCAGGGTCTTGAACCAGGGTCACCCCATCCCAAGTGAGTGCTCTAGCCACTTGGCTTTTCTGGGGTTGGTTGGGAGTTCTGTCTCCCTCTCCCATCCACCCAGGACCTGAGAGCTTTCTACAAATCGACACTTGCCAACAAAAAAACATTTTGTTAACAAACTGTCAACCAGCTCTCTCAATAATGCATGTTCTGCCTCCATGAAGCTTTTGTTCAGTGTTTGAGAGGCATGTTCCTCTACACAGATGACACAATAACTTGGTCGACTTTAATATGGAAATTAAAAACATATGATATTGATGAACTTCACAGCTTATTAATGATCACCCTGACTGGATTGCTATCCAGATTTATTCCTAGCATGACGCTGTTGACCTCACTGGAGTTACTCGGGGGCTGGCTTTGTTTCACGAGAGCTTCCAGCAAGGCTACTTGACTCTCTTGTGTCTGTTCCGTACCTGCTGTGCAGCATGCATTCTGATTTTCTGTCTAGGTTTGGAAGAGGATTCACCGTGAAGATGCACTTGATGAGCAGTGAGGTCAGCACGGAGGCTCTGACGGAGTTAATGCAGTCCCACTTTCCAGATACGTGCCTGAAGGTAAGCAGGATAGATCAGACCAGATGCTGGGGGAACTGAGAATGGAATCCCATATCAAACCTGTTATATTCACAATGGATATCTTGTAAGCTTCTTCTGACCACAGCTTTGACTCAGCAATAGCTGCCCAGAGCATTATGCTCTCAAAGCATAAGGGAATTGTACACCCAACTCCTTCTTCCAAAGCAGAGGCAAGGCTCAGATTTACAGAGCTGCCAAAAGGGTTTGGACACCGAGGTCCAATTAATTTCAATGGAATTAGAGCATCCAGATTTCCTAGGTGGCTTTAAAAACACAGCCAAATGGTAACAGTGAGCATGCAAGAGAGGAGTCTAATCTGGCAACTCCTTACTCACTTGAGTAATCCCACTGATGTCAGTGCTACAGAAGGCTGGAGTTAGAATCATAGAATATCAGGGTTGGAAGGGACCTCAAAGCAGGACCAATCCCCAGCTAAATCATCCCAGCCAGGGCTTTGTCAAGCCTGACCTTAAAAATATCTAAGGAAGGAGATTCCACCACCTCCCTAGTTGTCTAGCTCCACTTGTTTTCAGTGGGAGCTGGGATTACTCAGTGCCTCTGGTGATAGAATTACATTGGCATCAAGGTGGAGTAACACAGTGTTGAAGCAGGACCAGCCAACCCTCTAGCGTAACGCCAACTTTCAAAGTCATCCATCCAAACGCTAGTCCGTCCTGCACGTTAGTCTTCCCCAAAAGCCTAAGATAATAGAAGTTTTAGTTGGATCCTCACATAGATTCCAGAATATACCTGATATTTGTTGCACAACAATATTTCCCATGCAAGAAATTTCTTCTCCAGCTTTCTCAGTCTTCACTGAGGCTAGCTGACATTACAGAATGGACTAACTAGCACGTCAGCTGGGGAGTAGCTTTACCAGCCAGGAAAGAGAAATAAAGCTCCAAACCCCTGTTCCTCAGGGCTTGTTTATTGGCCACCAAAGAGTACCACAAACATAAAGCAACTCACTGGAAACACATGAGGCCAGCGGTCCTCAAAGTGTGCGTCATGACCCCAAACTGGGTTGAGACCCCATTTGGATTGGGTCACCAGGGCAGAAAGACCCAGCCCAGAGCTCTGGGGTTGGTGGTGGGGCTAAAACCCTAGCCCGCAGCTTCAGAGGCGGCAGTGGGGGGCTGAAGCACTTCTTATTTAAAATACTAACTATTCTGAGTCACCCAGGGCACTGGGGTTCGTGTCGTAATTTTTTTTGTCAGAATGGGGTCACGGTGTAATGAAGTTTGAGAACTGCTGCACTAGGCAGTCATTGCCCATAGGCTTTTCTCACTTGAGTGAGTCAGAAAGGGAGAAGACACATCCTCCCCCTTAATTCCGTTTTGAGTCAGCTTCCCCTACCTTTTTATACTACACCCAAGCAGCTGTATGGCCTGCCGGGACCTTTTACAGGTGGCAGTGACTTGACTTTGTCACTCTGCTCTTGTTCCCACAGGACCGGCATCTCAACATGGTGGAATATCACGTGCCCATCTCCGCAGGAGGAGTAGCAAACATATTTCATCTTCTGGAAACCAACAAAATAGCCTTCAAAATCAGGCACTTCTCAGTGAGTCAAACCACTCTAGAGGAGGTAAGAAATTCAGCAAACGTTTCAGACATGAACTGATTAACAGACACATTGGACCACATATTGAAAGGGGCTTCATTCCGCTTGCCTTTTGAGTGCGCACACCTGTACGTGCATCTTCTCGCACTTCTGTCTCCAGATGCATATGGTAGCGCTGGTAAAATGCATAAGCAAAGTTGTGTGTGACACACATGAAAACATGGCACAAAGGACTTAGTCTGCCCTCAGTCACGCCGGTTCAGTACTGTTGATTTCAGTGGGACTATATAAGTGTAAATGAAGGCAGAATTTCAACCCACATTTTTCCAAAGTGAAGAGTGGTCTTGTGATTAGGGACCTAGGCTGGCAGTCAGGAGCTGTGGCTTCAGTACCTGGCCCTGCCATTGACTTCAGAAGTTATTCACTCTCTTTCTGTGCTTCATTCCCTATCAGTAAAATGATAATATTCCTTTCTCCCAGCTTTTGCTTGTCTATTTAGACTGCCAGCTCTTTATGGCTGCTCTTTTCTTAGTATGAACTAGATCTTCAACTGATGTAGGTTGCCATAGCTTCATGAACTTCAGTGAAGCTGCGTCAACGTATGCCAGCTGAGGATCTGCCTCTATATAGTTATATAGTGAGGCCCCGATCTCAGGTGGGGCATCTAGATTCTGTTGTAATACTCATTTTGTTTATGATTGTTTGTAATGTGGGTGCCATAGTTACATTCCCTCCATTTCCACTTCAAAACTTTTTTCACCAGTATACAATATTGTAGGAGAAACCCAAGTTTAAGGGCTACCTTGAGTTAGGCCTGCATGGACCATCCCATTGGCAGGGGATAGCTGGAGCACTAGGCTCTGCAGTCATGCCCCCAAGATGACCCACTTTTAGTCCCGGTGGTGTGGTGGAGCTATCTAGTTTTTATGCCACCTGGCGATTCCTCTGTGACAGGTGAATCCTCAGCTCATCCGATAGGGCAGCTGTCCAGCCCCTTTGTGCCAGCAGAGTAGTGCAAAGTGAATGGATCTGGAAGCAAAACTATTACCCTGCAATCCTAGATACAATTCTGAGAGTGAATTGTGTGTGTAGATGTGTGTAATAGGGTGTGTGTGTGTGTGTGTAGAATGGAAGGGTGTGTGTATATAATGTAGGTGTGTGTGTGTGTGTATGTATAGGATTGCGCATGTACACCATATAAATATATAGGTAGATGTGTGTATATAGGTATACATGTGTATATATAAAATATACATTAAAGCTGGGCTTTGCAAGACATGTAAGTGCCCCAATCCCATTTGAGACCTAGGTTTCTCAGACTCCTTTTGGAAATCCCATCCCAACCACAGAATCCCTCCCTCCCAGGGCTATGGTCCATAGGAAAAAAAGGCTTTTTTGGCAATTTCTTGACTTATTTTTTTAGGTTTGTCACATAACCAATATTTTCCTTTAAACTTTTAGGTTTTCATCAACTTTGCCAAAGATCAGACTGGGGCTGACAATGCAGATGCGAGTACAGACGTAGGCTCAGACTGCTCGGATACAAGTAGCCAAGATACCAACATAAGCGCCATCTGTTAAAGGGATATTGCGGTGTTAAAAAAAAAATTGTATTTTTCTAAACAATGGGTTTTTTACTTATTTTGTTATTAGCAACCTGGTAAACATGTAAAACTGGCATGTCAGATTGGTCTTGCCCCAGTCTTACAGTTCTTGTTCTAGGTTTATTTTATATCTATATTGCGAAGTTGGTGACATCTCCTGATACTTGCTGTTCAAATACGCTGGAAGCTCTTCGCCATTGGCTGTCACCAAGAAGAACAGTGGGGGATAGAGCAGAGCGGCTGCTCTGGAGTCAGGGACGTAAGTGAGAAGAAGGACGGGACAGTCGTTCGGACGCTAGCTGGGCCCTCAGGAAACCCGCAGTTCAATGTCCTACTTTGCCACAGACTTCCTGTGCGACCTTGAGCAAGTCACTTGAAATGTCAGTCAAATGGGGGGATCACAACACTTCCCTCCCCCCCAGAGGTGTTGTGAGTCTAGATACATTAAAGGTGGTGATTCTCCAGCAATGGAGTCCATCTTAGATAGCTATGTAAAGCTTTTCTCTGTATGTGGATTATGTCAGTATTAATACAGTTATTTAAAATCCATGCTTCCTGTTGTTTTTGTTTGTTTCTGTAGTTTGCACCAACTCTACATGACCCCTAGTACAAATCTCCCGGTCCCACGCAATTTTCCCCTACCAATACTCCACAACTCTGCAAACCCAACAGCTTGACCACAGGAAGCATTGTACCGAGCAATATTGCCCAGTCACACTCCAATTTAATCACCACCTCTCTGCCACCAACTGAAACACGTTAACCCGGCCTCTCCCAGAACAACCAATCACCCAATCCCTGCAGAACTCCGCCAGGTTTATCCCTCACCCCACAGGGACGACACCTCCTGGAGGACAGTGCTTCCCAGCTGGGGTGCTGCACTTCACGCTGCCAATTGCTCTGTCTTCCCCTTTGGCCTGGGAGGTTCAGCAGTATTCAGGGCCTGGCAGGGTTGTTTCCACGAGGGTGAGAAATCAGTGCTGAGTCAGGTATAGTCTTATTTATTTCTCCTCCCCCCCCAAAAAAAAAACACAAAAAAACCTTACACAAAGTCCTGTTGATCTGAGTCCAGTAGAAACAAACAGGAGCAGGCTGTTTCCTTGCTCAGACATCCCCAAGTCTACCTCTCAAGCGAGCTCTGTGCACAAGCAGCCCTGTCTCTCTGCTTCCTCTTGGGGTCATGCCCACAAATCCTTCTGGCTTTTGCCTTCACCACACACAACCTGCTAATGATATCCTAGCCGCTGCATTTGCAAACAGAGAAACTCCTCCCTCCCACAGCTTAGCTCAGCTCTGCCATGCCACCTATTACTTTGGGTTATCTCCCAGTTGTCTGCAGCTACTGTTACGTCATTGGCTTTAATGAGGCTTGTGACTGGATCTAAGATCCTGCTGATTGACAGCCATTAGCACCTTTCAGCAGAACAACAGGTTAAAAATCCCAGCATTGGATCTCGCTGCTATTTTCCAAGAGTAGTGGGTGTTCCAATGAGGTCAGAGAATATTATACCTGTATTATTTATTTGTATTTCCATAGCATTGAGGAGCCCCAGCCATTGACCAGACCCCATTCTGCTAGGTGCTAAACAAACACAGAGCCAAAAGGTGGTCCCTACCCCCGGCGAGCTTGCAACTGAAATACTGGTGTTGTTGTAAGAAAGGGGATCCCCAATAAAGCTGTGTGAAGCCTCCATTGCAAAACCTGAAATGACGTGAACCTCGCTTGGTTTCAGGGTCACGTACAACATTCAAACCGGGGGGGTTGTTCAAACTCATTTTGGGCCAAGGGAAAATTTGATGAGACCTGTGATATATTTTGCTTTGATCTTTAGGGAATGAGTTTCCCTACTTCAAGTTCGATTTTGAGGCTTGTTGCAAAAGTCACACAGGGGCAGGTATTGTTCATAACTAGTGTGTTCAGGATCATATTGTGGGCTTCAGTCTCATGTAGTTTGGTTGCTCCAGAAAGGTCATTGTCTACCCTTGATCTTTGTGCAAACTTCCTGCTGACATCACTGGGTTTCAATGGTAGCAGCTGGCCCTAAATTTAGAACCCAACCCACTGATCATAATTAAAACAGGAATTCAGTCCTTTCTACAGAACGCACTTCACACCCTTAACTTAGAAGTAACTGAAAATGCCGCCAAAGCATTCGTCGTAACTTTTATTTATTATTGTTGCTTCTGCCCTGTAAAAGGCTGCCTTTTCTCATTTTCATGGCATGTATTATACAGATCCTGGATGAAATTAGTCTTGTCTTTGATGGAGGTCTTGCTTTCTCTGCAAAGGATTCAGAGCATGTCTACGATTTAAAACCTATCTGGAATTCCAATCAGAGTATTATTTTATTATGTCAATTGCTTTGTATGCTGCCCCTGGAAGATGGATCTTCAATGCTGTGTCCAGATGTACTTTATATTTAACTGCGAGAGGCTGCGTGCGATACAGAGATGCTTGTGTTTCTTTAGATTGTACAGATCAAAAAAAAGGGAAATGATTCTTTAGAATACTTCAGCAAGTTTTAGTGGGTTTTTTTTAAAGGCAGAACTTTGAGTTTCTATCCAAGTCTAGCCATTGTACCTGATGGGCCAGGGGTACGATATATACTTAGAACTTGGTGGTAAAAGTAAAATGTCTGTTACCTCAGTCAAATCTCTAGGTATTAGTCCAAACAAGCAAAAGTTACACGCTTCAAGTAGTTTATTGGTAAACCTTGGAGAAGTGGTTTGAATTGTTTTGGCAAATAGATCAGACAGATTATAACAGATACAGCCCAGATCTGTGTTAGCTTTTCTGTGGCTTCCTGCAGAGCCCCCACGCCACAAGCACAGCTGTCCCTGACTCCTGCAGATCCCTCTGGATCTACCCATGACTTTCTCTGGTGGAGGAAAACTCCAACCTTCCTCTCAATGGAATGATATGGGAGACTCTGTCAGAGGACCTGTTCAAATCCACCATAGAGATTTCTTTTCGCTACAACTGATGGGAGGGCATACTCTGGTCTCACGTTTGGTTGGGAATAAGAGAGAAACTGAGATGCCAATTGATAAAAATTCTGACTTTAAAATCACCTGACAAGCCTGAATTTTGCCCAGGCAATATCAGGATAATATGGACTATTATATTTTGGTGCTTTAAATGCCAATCTCTTTAATTGACACAAATGGACTCATCAAAATGGGACAGTGAGCAATTAATGTGTGACTTACATTGCAATGGAATCCTACACACTTTAACCACTTATCGGTCAGCACGAGTCTATTTTCATGCAAACTGGTGGCTAGTTTATGATGAGGTGAGGGGATCAGTCCATGCTGACAGTGTTGGAAAATAACAGGTGACTTGATCTGAGGAATCACTCTGCTTATTTGCAGGTACATTTTCTCTCATTCTGTCTCCGTTTAAACCCCTAGCTCCCACTTTTCCCTTTATAAATATCCTCTTGAGAGGGCTAGATTTTCAGAAGAGCCTGGTGGTAGATTGTCAAGGACTCAGCACCTGAGCTGGTTGGGAATGTTTCGATGAAACGTGTTTTCACTGGAAAATGGCAGCTTGTCAAAACGGAAACTTTTTGCAGAAATATATTGGTCTTGACAAAAAATTTTGTTGGGAAGTTTTCTCAGATTGAGGGCGGACTGTCTGGTCCAAAGGAGCGAGCAACCAGAATAGCCAATAGCCCAGTGGTTAGGGAGCTTACCTGGGCAGTGGGAGAGTGGGTTAAAGACACTGCTCAGAATCAAAGAAGGAACTTGAGCCTGTGTCTCCCCCTGTCCGGGTGAGTCCCCTACCTGCAAAGTGCAACAGCTCCAACAGAGGAGTGTGAGAATGCCTCTACAACCCGGTGGCTAAGGCACTCATCTGATGTGGGAGACCCCCACTTCAAGCCCCAGCTCTGTCTGATGCACTCCCTGCTTTGCACCCATGATTACAGGCGGGTTTTCAAAAAAGCCCCTCTCCCATTGAGGCACCTACATAAGGGCAGTCGGCAGCTCCCGGGGCGACACTTGTGGCCAAATGTCCCGAAGCGTTCAGCACCCGATGTGCATCCGAGAGGCCGAGCTCTGATTCCGGCCCCTGAATGGAAGCTAAGCTCTTCTGAAAAGCTGGCCCCTGTTATGCCCTTTTGGTTTGTCTCCGAGGGAGAAGGAGCTGCCTGAGTACCACGGCTCATCAGCTCTCTGTGGGTGTGAGATGAACTCCGAGAGCAGACCTTTGACCTCTGCTCACTCACACATTATCTTTTCAGCCTTCATAATGCCAGCTGATTTTTCAGGGAGTAAAGACAAGTCCCCGTTGGATGGAGCATGTGGCTTATACATGCTAATTAGAACTGCATGGTCCTCAACTGGGCTTAATTTGAGAAGGCTCCTGAAAATTACAGAGGAAAGTGAAAAACAGTCATACAGTACGTAATGGCTAAAATAGTCTGGGGCCAGGGAGTCAAGTAGGAATTTTATAATTAGTTATGTGGAGTTGTGAGACTGATTCAAATCAATTTCATAATTGGCAACGTGGAGTTAGAGACACTGGCTCAAATCTCTTTCCCGTCTCTGTTAAATTAAACACTTCGGGGAGCTGTTTATTTTGTGACACAGCTCCAGGCTCAGACTTTGCAGACGAAGCTTCTGCTTTTAGCAGAGACATTGAATTCTGCTACTGTGTCTTCCATCTTCCTGGATCCAAATGCAAGGCCTTTATCTGAATGAGGCTGACTTCAGCAATGGGGTGAAATAGATGGCACCTGAGTGGTAAATTTGCAAAGTGAAGTTCATGCCAGCAAGGAAAACATCAGTCAAAGGGCACCATCCAATGAACATCTCTGATTTGCCTCTAGTTAGAATATAAAATCAAACTCTAGTGGGTTTTTTGTTGTTGTTGTTTATTTGCTTACTTGCTTGTGTAAGAAAAACTAGCTTTTGTGTCATTTCAGCATGTGACTAATTTTACCCACATGAGTAGTTGGACTGACATGTCATTGGGACTTCATGTGTGTAAATTACTCATTGGCAGGCTCAAGCATGTAGCAACAAGTTCCCAACTCAGACCCCAGGCCTGCAAACACACGGGTGTGTAATTTTATTCATGTGAATAATGCAACTGGCATTAATGGGATTACTTATGTGAATAAGATTTCTCCTGGGATAAACTGTTTGCAAGCTCAGAGCCTTAGCTGATAATACTGTCACCAAGATTTTCAAAAATGGGTGCCTAAAGTTAAATGACTTATGTCCCTATGTAGGCCCCTAAAGAAATGGCTGGGTTTTTCAAAGTACTGAGCAACCTGCAGGACCCTTTGAATTCAGAGGAGCTTCAGACAGTTTATTTAGGCACCTAAAGAAGGATTTAGAAGCCTTATTTTATGCCTCCTGTCATAAATATAAAGGGAAGGGTAATAAATACCTTTAAAATCCCTCCTGGCCAGAGGAAAAATCCTTTCACCTGTAAAGGGTTAAGAAGCTAGGATAACCTCACTGGCACCGGACCAAAATGACCAATGAGGAAACAAGATACCTTCAAAGCTGCGGGGAGGGAGAAACAAAGTCTCTCTCTCTGTCTGTGTGATTCTTTTGCTGGGGACAGAACA